AGTTGACCGGAAATAGCCGCGAGTTGCCGTTAATTGTTTCCGTTAGAAAACTGCCCCCAGACGCGGGAAATTTGAAAAAGCGCGTTCCTAACAACACAAATTGCGCAGTAAGGAGTGTTTTTCAGACTTTTTTAATGTGACCATCGTAATTTTCGTGTCATTTAACCTCTAAAAAGTCTATTCGCACGGCTGTATCTCTTGCATGCAACAGGCCCATTGATCAATTTGTTGATGTTGCTGTTCTTGTGTGACAGACATCGCAGGATTCCTGATCCTTATCCCTCAATATCGTTCGTTTGAGTGCACTAGTTTCGGCCTCCATGGCCAGCCAAGGTCGGCTGCCAGTCAGCTGATAATCGAGTTGTCGTTACTCTGGGTATAAAGGGACTCTAATATGCTCGTTTAAATTGTTACTGCCGCATAATTGAAATTGTCAAATTCAGCTTCTCATCATCGATGTTACGGTGAGCCGCCATCTTGTTTGTTTATTTACGGCCCTAAGAGCATCATGAAGCCTAAAAACTCGTTGACCAATCAAAAAGCGGAACAGTTTTCCTGTAGTAAAAGGATACGAATGGCCATACTCTGTCTATAAAGGTACTCTACTGTAGAGTCCCTTTATACTGAGAGTCAAGACAATTCGGCTCATGGATGTCACAAACTGGAATAAAGATTACAGAAATTGAACGTTTTTCGTAATCTTTGATCGGCCCATTCTCAAATGCCTTTCTCCGTTCCTCCTCTCATTCCGTTTGTTCCTTGCCGAACCCGTAATTCCCTGGTCCATTCTAGATTATAATCTTTGCAATCGGTGAAAATGTAATCTTTATTCCCGTTTGTGACACTGTGGAGGCCTAAAATACGGGAACCAATCAGAAATGGATTCAAATTGTCTTGACTCTCAGTATAAAGGGACTCTACTCTACTGTAGAGTACCTATATGGCGAGAGTATTCCCAGCAGAGATCACGATCGACATACTGGTACGCTCACTCCATCTACTCTATGAATATTATTGAATAGGGCAGGGACCAGTTCTATAGGACCCTGGACTCCCGTAAGAGTCAATGTAAAGATTCGTGAGCAGGTACTAGTGCTGCTATCGCGCGTAGGATCCTCGCAACTCACTGCTGTTATCAGTTGTTGGACTTCATTAAAATCCGTAGGATCGCGTATAACTGCGAAAAATCGAATTTTTCATCGTACAATTACATGCGGCGGGCCCTTCCTAGTCGAAAGGGGTCGAAAAACGCCAAAAATATACTTATTTTTTAAGAATTCAGCCGCCTTATGTGTTATTTTTCAATCTCCGGCTTAACCTCACTTTTGGAGCGGGCGATGGATGAGTCGAGGTTCGGGGGGAAGGATCCTCTGAGTTGACTAGGATCCTACGCGAGAATGCGCTGCAATCACCCGCTCACAACAGAACGGCGTCCTATAGAACTCGTCCCTGAATAGGGTGTGGAATTGTGGATTGGTCTTTTGGTCTTGTTCGAGGCTTGGTCGCTCGGTGCTCAGCAGCTCTCCTACCATAGAGAGAAAAAAAAAAGGAGGTGTTTGCATTTCGAGCATCTTGGATTTTTTGATGACGTAGGTCGGTACATCGACTTTTATCATCAATTTTCTTGGAAATGGTGTAATTTATGGAAAAAAGTCATTCTATAAAAAGTGCTTGAAATTATATCATAAGTTGATTTAAGCAAGAAAATGGAACATTATGGTTCGTTTTTCATACTTCGAATTCCGGATTTCGCTGGCCAGGTTGTACCGACCTACGTCACAGGGTAAACAAACCTCAAGATGCAAACACCTCCTTTTTTTTTGGTCTATGCCCTCCTTCCACATTCCTTCCATCCTGCTTCAATCCATAGAGGTGTTTGCATCTTGAGGATTTGTACCCACCTACGTCATCAATGTAAACAAGACGCTCGTTGAGGGTTATGTTGACGCTGTAAAAACGGACCATAATGTCCGATTTTTTTACTTAAATCAACTCTTTATTTAATTTCAAGCACTTTTTTTAGAATGACTTTTTCCCTTAAATTACACCATTTCCAAGAAAATCGACAGGATAAAAACGTCGCTGTACCCAATGACGTCATCAAAGCTATAGATACTCTATGAAAAATTCCAAGATGCCCGAGATGCAAACACCTCCTTTTTTGCTTCAATCCTGTTCTTGTTCTTGTGAGGAATGAGTGTCTTCTGAGTTGGAAGAGCATACAGTTTTGTCAAAGTTTGATATATCTCCACCTACAGTTCCTTTGTTTCACCAGTTCGTTATACTCTAAATGCTTTATTGACACTAAACTTGTAAATATTTCATTATGGGAGCAGCATTTTTACCAGTTGCCTTTTTCACAGTTCTGTGGGGCATTGTCGGTATTGGACTACCCTTCATAGTTCCCAAAAGTCCACATCGAGGGTAAGATTTATGCAAACTTTCTTTTCACTTTTGTGATCCCTATCTCATCACGAACATCAATGACTCAGTTTTCTCTGAAACTTCTGAGTATTTTCAAAATTAAGAGGTGATATTTCCTGTTAGTGTCCTTGAGAGGCGGGACATTTCTATCAGTAGAGCATTTGGCTGGAACTTTGTTAGACAGAAATGCCTTTCACTGTCTACCCGTAGGTTTTCAAGATCAGTTTTCTATATGAAGTCTTCCCTGTTTTTTTTCCTAATTCTTTTTGATGGACCATCTGGTTATCATACGACAAATCAAGCAGATCAATGTTCTGTCACAGCCGCGCTAGAAATATCCTCCTGTTTTGGTATTGCTTCTTAATCAGATGTCTGAATGGTTCAAGAAGAGCTAACGATTCTCTCCAGTATTTTCAACTTATGTACCCATTCAGCTCATAGGCTTGATCTTCTTTGGTCTAATGAGTTTTCCCGTACCTCAATACAGGGTTTACCTCAATGATCAGCAAATCCACTAGTAGATTGCCATCAATTGCAATTTCAGCTCCTAGTTGCCTCTAAATAGTTATTTTTTGTCATTATTTTTGTTAGATTCGCAATTTTATAGCAATGTAATAATTGCTGTGGCTGGATCTGCTCCGCCCTTTAGCCGGCGGTACCAAATCCACTGACAGTGGCTCTGTATGCTGGGGCGTTAGCACTTAGCAATAAGATTAAGAATGCAGTTTGGTGATTGGTTGTACCACCAATCACTGTATTAACCCTGTATATTCCATCATGAATGCATATTATGAAGTTGTGCCTTCAATTGGTTGAAGTTATCACAGAAAACAGAAGACAACTTTGAAATTCCGTCGATTACAAGGTCTCTCTACCCCTGAGGTTAAAGTTCCACTTTCTGCAGAGTGATGGACGTGCCCTGCACTGTTAAGCAAGTTTCTGACATACTTAAGGCCTGAATATTTGAAAACTAACTCTCTTAGCACTCATTAAATATTCTGGCAACGAACAAGCTGAAATTCAAACCATTATTTCTTCTCGGAAATTGGAAAATTCCCTCAAATACTCAAGAGCTGTTTCAGGAAAACTGCTGCACATTCGAGCATATTCCATATGATCTACTATAAGGTCTAGTTTATCCTTAGCCCTTCCAAGTCGGATAGTTCAAATTCAAATACGTTTATTTCACTTCAAGCAGGTGTACATGAATAACACAGCTAATTTTAACCAGAATTCATAAAAATTAAAAATAAATACATCCTACCACCCTTTGAGTAAGAACTTATAGTGGGTGGTGCAATCAAGGAAAAACAACACGAACAAAATAACGTAACAAAATAATCACAGACTCAAACTACAAAAATTTAACAGAAATAATCAATGAAAAAACTAATTTAGATGATAATTTAAGCAGCAATAACAAACAACACAAACAAAATAACGTAACTATAATTACAGACTCAAACTACAAAAATTTAACAGAAATAAACAACAAAAAAACTAATTTAGATGATAATTTAAGCAACAATAAAAAAAAAATAAAAAAAAATTACAAATATGAATGAAAAACGTGAAGGAAATTTAGGAAATTCAGAAAAATTTAGAAGAATTTACAATTTTTAGAAGAATTTAGGTAAAATTTGATTTAATAAAGTTTGATTCATTATTTAAAAAAATGGTAAAATTTAAAAAAAAAAATTGTGAAATATTAAGATAGTAAAAATAGTGAAGATTCCATTTTCAAAATATCAAACTTGTCTTTTTCTAACCATAATATCAGCCGTTACTCAGTTATCAGTAGTTACTCAAAATTTGATTTATTCTCAGAAGAAAATTGCAGGAGAACTATCGGACCGTATGATAAGAAACAGGGAGGTAGTGGGTTTATGCGGTCTAGATAGTGTTTGGAAGTCTTTGTCCCTGAAAAAGTATAGGTATTTCTTCGGTTTGTATAAGATTATATTCGTTCCTAAATTAGAAACCCTTTCGAGTTTTGTTGTCAAAATAATATTCTCTTTGTATATCATACTTGTCTACTTGTAATCCCAAGATATTATCATTTCTCTTCTTACTTTTCCAGAATCCTGCAACTCATGTTAATGTTGACAGCTTTCACATGCTGGTTGTTGTAAGTCACCTTTTTTTCTCTGTCCTTCTTTTTTTTCTCCTCATTGATTTATTTTTCATTTTTATATTTCACATCCTGTATTAGTTCTAGGTAGGGTACTTTCTCACAAATTTCGATTTTAAGTATTGGAGACTTAGTTTTTAAATCCATGTGGGAATGTCACCGAGAGTGCACCTCTGGCGTCTAGGAGGGAAGTTAGTACATGAATCTGAATTATTGTCATGGTGTGACCTGACATATGGTGATTAAAAAAAAAATATGAAAATTTTACTCTGAAACCATTCTAATTTGTCCACGTCATAAAACTATAAAACCTTGTCAACTTTTTTATATGTATCTTCCCTCAGAAGGATTATGGCTGCTCAGAATTTTAGTTAATGGGTTCCACAACCATAGAACACCTACTGTAAGCCTGTATCCTGTGTCACCAAATTAATCATAATTAGTTTTCACAATACCTGTTTATCAGCAGATTTCATCCATCCTGCCAAATTTAATCCTTCGGTGGGCGTGTCACAGTTTCGGAGCGCAATATCAGGTAAATTGTTGCTCCGCACAGGTAGAAAAGGGTAGGCCAGAACTTTCAGTATTCCTTAATGGGGCTATGAAGGACACAAATTGCACAATTTAAGAATTTTCTCATCTCTGGAATATCTGCATGTAAGGCCCGAATCCAAGGATGTCAATATCTGCAGTCTGATTGCTGCGGCGCGCCCAGTCGTGTTGCCAATATCAAATGGTCACTTTGTGAGGTTTTTCCTGTGCATTCTAAATAATTAGACACTGATCACTTTTTTACTTGCCCTAAGAGCATTTTACAGTGTTGCAACATTTGTTCCCTAAAATTCTTCAAATACTACAATTATTTGAATACAAATTCCTTTGATTATGTCAGCAAAATTGATTTAATTCAATAATTGGTCTCAACAAAAAATGAAAAAAAAAAAAAAAAAAAAAAAAAAAAAAAAAAAAAAAAAAATTACCAAACCCAAAGTCAGACCACTATTACGTCACAGCTGGCTGAACAAAGCTGAGCCAACAAAGGGGAACAAAGTGTGATTCCAATGCATATCATTTTCATTTAATATCAATTTAAGTATGACTCGTTGCATTTTTCCAGAGGAAACTAATAAATTAACTCATCCTACATGAAAAGCTCCATTTAACAGTTATGATTAAAAATTAATACTCTCTTGCAAAATCTTCTACTATATTCACTTGCTCTCTCTCCTCGCAAATTTGAAGGTTTAACAGCAGTTAAAGTAATGGAAAATAAAACTGAAAAAAGAGAAAGTCATTTAAAAATAGTTTACAATTTATGATAGTGTACATTGACCACTTAAAACTCGAAAAAGCGGAATTAAATGTTGCGGTCCAAATGCTGCGGCTTGCCCGGTTATGGCACTCACGTTGGCGCGCCCAGTGAAGGGTTAACTCAGTAGCAGTATTAAATATCGACGTATAATTTAAATATTTTTGTCCTAAGAATTAAATTGTAGATTGAAGCTGAGAACTCTTCATCTAGCTCTAGGATTATTATTTAATTACTTCCTTGTATAATCACCACATAGTAAGTTTAATTCCAAATTAGATTATTTTACCAATTTTTGTATATTTGGTTTTTTTTGTTACAGCTGGCTGACATGTTACATGGCTCAGATGAACCCCCTCCTTGGACCAAAACTTTCGAATTCAACATTATTATTGATGGCCAGAGAGTGGGTAAGCAACTGTTGCCTCCACTCAATTTTTGGGACATCAAAATAGGTTTTTAATTTGATCTTCAAAGGAAAGAGAGCAGGCCTTCAGGAGTGCAGATGTATTCTAGAGTGCTTGTCCAATAGCTTTCTACATTTTGCCCAAGAGCTTGCCATAAAATTTCTTCCCGATTTCAAAAAGTGTTGGTAGTGGATTTTTCAAAATTTTGTCTTGCTCCAACTGTTAGTGGCCATGCTTCAGTTCACAAATCTCTCTGCGAATTATCACTAAAACATGTAAAACTTTTACCCCTTAAAAATTGTTCCACTCTTTCACATGTCCAATCATGAATGATCAGGCATTTTCTGCAACCTTCAGTAGCCGTTGATCAAGGGATTTGCTTTGATATTTTTCAAGAATTGTCCATAGTCTTTTGCAAACTTCATGAACTGTGTAATAATTAATCGTGATTTATAAAAAACTTAACTATTGCAAGGAACAAGATGATAGAAGAGTGGTGAGTTGAGTTCACATTATTCTGGGGGTAAGTCAAAGTCAGGGAAAACCAAAAATTAAAATTAGGTACAGAATGACCTTGAATGAGTTTCAGTGCAAGACTGAGGGGGGAGTGCTCAGCTCAGGCAGATGCATTGAAATACTGCGCTTAGGGTCTTGCCAAGAGATGTATACCAGAGTCGTATTTTATTTGAGGTAACAGGCACAATTCGTTTCTGTAAAATTGTTGTTTGTGTAACTTTTTCTCGATCAAGGAGCAACCAATGAGAGGACAGCCGAGCAAAGTGAGGTTAAAACTCCGTAACAATCGGCAACAATTTCTGGAACCTGCTCAGAGCACGTTTCGATTGTTGCTTATCAAATTTTACTGACAAGGCTTCCACGTTGTGCAAAAGAAATTCAGATTAGGTAAGCCCCGCTCACTGACATCCGGTAACACTCAAACAAAGTAGGAATATTGCGCTCTGATGCGAAACGGTTACGATTGTTTCGCCAAACAAAATACGACTCAGTTCAGATATTTTAAGACCTCAGCTCAGTATCCCACAAAATCTAGATGATACTTAATCGCCATCATGGATATAACACAAAGCATGTCACCGAACAGTAATCCTTGCTCCATGTCCCATCGCTACTGACACCACACATCAACTTGTCATTAGATTGACCCAATTCTATCGATCTTAGAAGTACCATCCTTCTTCGAAGATCATCATTATTTATCAGAACTGTATGTCTAACTAAAAATATCATTCAGCTTTTGAGGATGAGAGAATGTTTCATTCTGACGTAGAAGTTTGATGTCTGTTGATATTGAGTCAGCTTTGATAAAGTTTCATTTTCAGGCATTCATTATGACTTTTATTTCTTTCTATTTCAGGGTTACCCTGTTGGGTCATAGCTTTCACGGTTTTCGAGACAAATTTCTTCTCAATACGAGATGCACCACCATTCCAAATAACCCCTGGTCTCCGTAATGTTTATTATAATTATTTTTCCTTAAGAATTTTGCTCTTTATTGTTTCTCCTAGATGTATATATTCATTGTAAACTGTATCACTGATCAATTTTAAAGTAAGTATTAGATCCAACCGATTTAATTGATTTGTCACCCTTGCATTAGTCGATACATGGATGTTCAGTGGTTTCAATGTAAACAAACTCATAACCCCAAGAATAAATTCGCTATTGTGTATTTAAGGTGTCAATTCATAATAAATTTATCTCAGTAACTCATAGAACACTCAATGATTCATCCAACAGCAGAAATTCTTATCGCAAGAACACTCAAACGCAATTAAGTCTCCATTTATAGGATGACAAAGTTATTTTTTGTTGACATTGGAGTCATCAGACAGCGATTTGTATTGAATGCTGTAGCTCCTATCTCAGTCTACCATCAGTTTTTTCATTTTTTTCTTTTCCTTTTTTATTTAAATATTGATTGTCTCGCAGTTGTGAATGCGCTAGCTGCATACTGATTTTATTTGAGTGAGAAGGAAATTCTCCCAGGTTTCACAAGCATTAGCAAGGAAGTATTATTGTAAGCTTTAAAAGTATTTTGAATGGTGAAAGTGTAATTAAGTGGAAATTTTTCCCCCATTTTCTTCTTTCTTTTATTTTCAAAATGAAAAGAGTAGTAGTAACAGCATGTTCGCACAACAAGTCTCTGAAAGCTTTTATCAGTCATCAGCAAATCTTAAGTTGTTGAGCAACGAAAACAAGTGTGTTATGTTTATCTCTACAAATTTTTCTTTGATTACATGTTCGTTTGGAGAGACTTTCAAATCAATCATTCTATTAAATTACACCAAAACTGATGATAGGAATATCATGCATTACACCAAAACTGATGGTAGGAATTTTAAAAACATCATATAAATTGTTTCCCTTGACCAAGATATTCACTCCTAATGTTTTTCCATGTGGAAGCTATCCTCTGGGTATCAAGGTGCAGAATCGCCGGTGATTTCAGTATTTTGTTTAAAAGGAAAGAAATCAGCCAATCTGCAGCAAAACTACAAGTCCTCTGTGAATTATCTCATACAACCATATGGAGGTGGCATAGACTGTTGGTTCTTTTTTGTCTTATCCATTTCATTTCTTTTTCATGATATTCGAAGTGAATGAATTTTGTTGTTTCGGTTCTACTAACAAGTTTGGATCATATTTGTTTTATCTTTAAGTTGTTGTTTTCTTCTTAGTAAAAAGTATCCAAAAGCAAAATCAGTAATTTTCAATACAATGTACCTTTTACCATAAGTATCCTCCAATAACTTTTCCACTGCTACACATCAGTCTGTTGTTGGTGTTGGTAACCATCCCAGCAAAAAAGAGGTAAAATTTTGCAATAGGTTATGACTCTCTTTTGCGTCTTATTTGAAGTTTTATTTTGGTTGCCTGCGTCGAGAGGCACCCAGAGCACATTTTTAGAAAAATTGAGATTTTGGCGTTTCGGAGAATTTTGGTGGCCCAGTGTAATAAATTTGGTAGCCTCTCGTAAAAACAAATTTTAGGATGGGGAGTTCCGAAATCGCGATTTGCATTGAAATCAGTGAGGTTTTCATCTAATGTCTTGAAACAGCTATAGTAGAGTTCATTGCCTTTGGGCTCAGAGCTGTTGAAATATTCTTGAAATAACGACGTCTCCTCCAGTTCCCTCGTTGCTGAATCTATCGGAAAGCTCAAGGATTTTGACTAGCGCAATAGGGTTGAATTAAACACATTCCATATTAAGCTCATGAATAGAAATTGTATAATGGTTAAAAAGTTTATCTTTATAACAGTGTAAATGCGAATAAACTGAGGAAGGTTGTCTTCACCCTGCAAATGAGACTTCAAAAAGACAGGTGGAAACAGACTGCACAAACAGTGTAAGTTACGAGTTTTAAATTAACATGTTTCAAGAATATAAACTTTTATCAGGAACGTCACTGAAGATCTGATTAAAAGCACTTCTGATATATTTGGGGAGGGGGGGGGGAAGGACAAAAATAAAAAGAGCCTTTTTCCAAAAATGGAGGATGAATACTGTACGTCCATCAGGATTCTGGCAAAGTAGCGAAGCTTGTGGAGAAAAAAGGAAACGGTTGCATTCCTTACACCACTGAATTCTGTTGATGATGCAAAGTGGGTTGCTACAGACTTTTATGATGTTGGTTTTCTCGAGAGTAGTGAGGTTACAGTGAATAGACTAATCTCTCTGAAAGTGTTGAAAATTATATGTGATGTTGAACTCCGACACGCCAACAAACTTCACAGCTCAGTTTTCCATGCTTTGAATTTTGGATGTTTGCACCATAATTTACTCACCTAGATTACAGTGTAAGCGAATTAGAGACTACCATCACCTCTTTTCTCTATGTTCAGTGATGTACCTGCAGAGTGTACTTTCCATTACCCAAGTAGCATGGATTGCAATTTCATTGCAATGGATTGTGAGTTGATTGCAATTTTTGCTTGCTGCCTATACGTTCATTTGAAGGCGCTTAAAAAGTTGCAATTTTATTGCAATAAGTTTGCAAGAAATGTAGATTATGCTTGTTGCCTAACCTTCTTTTTCAAGGCACTATAAAGACTGCAATTTCGGTGCAATCATGTTGTAACAAATTCACGCCATGTGCCTGGCATCCAATTCTCTAGTTGTTTTAAAGTTTTTTCGACTTAAATGTCTCACCTAACCCATATAGCCCAACATATTTTGAAAATATTGTCACCTTTATCAAAATATTTTCATGGCAATATTGTAATTAAAATATTTTCAAAATATTTTTAAAACATTTTAAAGGAATATTTTGAAAATGTTTACAAAAAATATTTTTAAAATAATTCAAAAATATTGCCTGTAAACATGCATGTTAAAAATATTCCTTAAGAAAGTTTTGAAAATATTTTAAAAATATTTTTTGAAAATATTTTTAAGTTCTCAAGTTAGTATGTGGTGTAATTTACACCGGTGTAAATTTAGTGTGAGTACCTATTACGTGATATCGAAAAAAAAAATCAGACAAAAAAAATATGAAAAAAATAAATAACACGAAAAAAAATAAATAATAGGCAAAAGAAAGAAGCCTGAGAAAAACGGCGTTAATCAAATCTATGATGAATGTTGAGCCACGCACTGACGCAATGCATGCGATAACAGCCTTAACAGGCGTGATTTCAACCCAGCTCATCATCAGCTCCCTGTAGCTCAGTGGAAGAGTGCTCCGCTATGACATTCGCGGGTCGGGTTCAAGCCCACTCAAGGGCGTCCGGTATTTTATGCTGCTAAACGTCGTAGGACATTAGGTAAGCATGGGTTCGAATTATTATAATTTCCCCGGAAAATTTAGGGGTTGAAATTTAAAGGTCGTCAATATTGAAATTTCTTTGCAAAAAAAAAATTGCAACTTTTTTACAATGAGGGGGTCAGATGTTGTAAAATAATTGCAATTTTCTTGCAAGAAAGTTGAAATCATCTGGAAATTTTATTTCATTTAAATTGCAATTTTTTCGTTGCAAAATGCTACTTGGGTAACTACATACAACAGTAGTCCATGTATCAGTTGATGTTTTCAGAAATTCAGGACATTACATAGTAGATAATAGCCATTTTAAAAAAGATGTGTCACATTCTATAGTAGATTTTAAAGTTGGAATTAAAATGTTTGACACACAGGATTAGACTTCTTTTCTACTCATTGATTGTTCCAATGGGTCAAAAATTGGCAAAATGATGAGAGGGTTTTCAAGAAATTATGTTGACTCTGCAAAACTTTAAATTACTTCTTGCAGGGTTGTTCCCTTGTTGATGTTTCTTAATACTTAAAAATGAAGGAGACACAGGCTTTCTTAAAAACGTAGTAATTGCAGCTGAGAAGGGGAGCAGAGAGGAGGAATTATCTTTTTAAGAAATGGCATAATATATAAGTTGAAGGTACTTAGAGGTGAAACGGAAGAACAGGAAGGCATAAATAATGAGAGAGCTTAAAATAGGAAGGGGCATAAAATGATTTATGGAATGAATCAACAAGCGTGGCTCCTCCTGTGCCTTATTCCCAGATTTATGTCCCCTTGATTTGATGCTCCCAAACCTTCCCGCTCTTTATAAGAAGTTTGACAGATTCCCCAAAAATTGGGCCATGCATATTAAAAAACCTTGTACCAAAACAGGCAGAGAAAGGGTTAGAAATAATTATTGTGAGAAGTTGTGGAAAATAATTATTCTTTTAATTTATCACCATCATTTGCAGAATTGTTTCAAAATAAAAACTGTTATATCAAAAAGGATGTTTTAGTGATGTTAGGATGCTGAGTTGCATTTTGCATAACAGAATATGTTGAGTTGTAAATACTCTATGATGCTATGATTACTGTAGCTGTACGGTATATTGAAAGATGCTGAGATACACATTGGAACTACCTTATCATATCTCCAGTGAGTTACACTGGAATAGAACATGAAGCAATCAAAAGAGAAACTAGTAAAGATGTTGGAAAGAACTGAAATTAAAGTAAACTACTATGAAATGAAGTGTCATGCTGCCGACATTACCAAGCTTGCAAATTGGTAGAAGTAGTTGGCAATATTGTGAAGAGACATTGAAACTGTATAAGACTTCGAATTTCGAAAGAGTCTTTTCAGAATGGAGTCCCTGCATGCTGCCGTGGATTCTTTAATTAGCCATTTCTTCCATAAAATATTTTTCACGATAAAAGGTTGGCGGTCCCACCAGCTTGCTGACACCCTGCGAAATGATCGCATTTTGGCATTCTTCGCATCAAATCTCAGGTCTTCCAAAGTTATGAAGGCATAGTATTCAGTAGTTCAGCTTAATATAACTATAGACTCAGCATTTTACACCGTTGCCGAGATTACTAGAATATAAAATGAAATATACCATTTATTCCTCACTCGAGTGGTTTTGGCAAGGTGTACAGGACATTTCCAAAGCAGGGTAAGAAACCTATAAACATAATTTTTTTACTATTTCAAGACATATATGCTTTCATGTTTTTTGAAGACTTCCTAGTAAGTTTAATGAAAAGATTGCAAACACTCAATCATTTTCCATGGCGTTGGGTTATAAATCCAGCGGCACCATGACCTACTTTGTGAGACTAGAATGTGATTTTTTAGTTCTCAAATATTCCCTTCATACATTCTCAGTGTGAAAAATAAAACTTCATCCTTTCAACTGTACTTTTTGCTGGAAAAAAAAACTGCACTCTAACTCCCACTGCACGAACTGTGTTTCTTCCACGTGAGCCACCCTGGAAAATTGATTCAAGGAACCATAAAATCAGCATAGGGCTTTCAAACTTCACATAGGTCTTAGAGGGACCTAACGGATTGGAAAAAACATCAGCAAGCAAAGACTTTTGAATGTTGCTGAAAAATGACACACCCTAAAGAGAGCCTGACAGAGTAGAGGGGTGCTCTCTATAAGAAAAACATAATAATAATAATAACAATCAACTCCTTCATTACAGCCTCCACCTAAAATGCTTAAGCTCTGAATTTGAATTGAGGGAAAAACGATGGCATTATCATCTTTTACACAGTATTCTGCACTCTCAACAACTCATTTAAAACAAAATAAAAATTTCTGCTACAAGCCACACATCAATTTCGGAATGTTTTGAGTTGCCTACTCTCCTCTCATGTTTAATTTCTCTTAAAGTCGTAAGTGTAAGTAAGTATCTCCACAAGTACAAGTAGTAAATATTACTATTACGCAGTAATACTGTAGCATTTCTACTGGCAACATAATACTTCAAATGGAATCCTTTTAGCAATTCAGAACTATCAATTGAGGCCATGGCTTGAATAACCACCTATGCGCCTATAGGTGGTCATTCCCCTCATCGGTTCATTCAAATTATTGTGTCCTTGGGTATCGCTGGTAGTGATGGCAAGTCGATCCCTTGATTACTCCGCTGAAGAGTCTGCTTTTAGTGCAGTGAAGTCAGACCGACTGACGGGTGGATGGAATAACCACCTATACAAGTGCCGGTGTTTTTCAGCCTATTTGCATCACTGTGTGTTATTTGACAGTTACAAAGCATCAATTTGTGTTTTAAATCAATTTAACAGCCATTTTATCATCAGACTTAGAGTCGGGTAGAATAACCACCTATAAACGTGTACCGATGCGTATATTGATGATTTTCTGCCCATTCATGCAATCACGCGTTTCATCTCGACATAAGGCCGTCATTTTCTTTTACATGACAATCTATGACTGTCGCAAAGCATCGATTGTATTTTTCAAACAATTAACAGTTGAGACTTGGTGGTGGGTAAAATAACCACCTAAAACAACATGTTTTAAATCAACAATTTTAAAGTGAAAGCTGAAATATTTTCCAAAAATGCACAGCGGATCGATCAGAAGGTATAGGCAATTTGAAAAAATGCTTTTGCAGTTTTCCCACCCTGCAAACTCAACGATGCATCTATTAATCAAAACTTCAAATACGATTTTCTCACAACTGAATCGGTTTCTGTTATACGGGCGTAAGTCCAAAAATTTCAAAATCGTTTTTTTTGCATTTTCAGCCTCCTTTAGGGTACATACACATTTTCTGAAAAGATGGCGGAAGTCCTACCTATGTATAGAAGCCTGTGGAATAGGGGGGGCGAGTTCTCAAACTCGCGCATTTCTAAAGTTTCTGTAACTTTTTTCATAATAAATGAAGAACATTTGTATTGAATTTGCATCTTGACCTAGCTGTTATGTGATATAACTTCTTATTGTGCATTGATCACAAAAATACATGATTGAAATTTGAAAACTTGGTTTCAACACTTTTTTAAATGAAAATATCCCATGTCACCTTCATTAATTTTGGAAAAATAGGAGTAATTCTAGAAAATTTAGGCCTTTAAATAAATTTAAAAACATATAATAACTCCCTATGCTATATAAAAGAAAAAAACCATGTGCTACATTTTTCAAACTTACTTTAATATTAGTTTTTTGGCTTGAAACTGTATCAGTCATCCTTCGTTTTCTGGTATAAGGGCGTAAGTCCAAAACTTAAAATTAGCCTAAAAGGGTACTAAAATTTTTCTGAGCCAAAAAAACATTTCAGAACTTTTAAACGGGTGTTTATACAACCTTTGAACCCTTTTTTGAAATTTAGTGGTGTCCTGCATAACGAGAAAATCAGTTTTTTGCCTCTCCTGAAAAATTTGGATTTGTGGACTTACGCCCGTTTAACAGAAACCGATTCAACTAGGTTTTCAGCTATACGCATGGTGGTTCTTCGTTCCATGGCCTCAATTCTTTCTCAACCATGACAGAACCTCTCTGAATGGAAAAACTAATGGCACGCATGTTTTTTCTAAAACGAGTCAGGCCGAGGAGTGGTAGTTCCTAAATGTTGAATGTAATCGAATGTTCAAACCAGAATTTTGCGTTTTCCACTAAAAAAAAAAATAAAAATAAAAATAAACAGGAAGAAATTTAGGCAACAAATAATTAAGTTGGGCTAATTATGCAGGCTGATCATTGAAATGGATAGACAAATTAGAAAGAAGGAAAATTTGCAATGTGCAAACCAAGATAAGTGGTTTGGTAGTTTCTCTGTGGATATGTGGCTGCTAAAGACCACAGGCAGGCTCATTAGTGAAATTGATGGACAAAGTGATAGACAAAGAAGACAACAGGAAAATAGAGCGATCGTTTAAGTTGAAATGGGTGGTTCTCGTGAACTAAGAAGGAAAATGATGAGTTAGAGTCCCCACGAGGGACCTTGAAATTAGCTGTAAGGTCTCTCGTGAGTTTCCGCACCGTTAGTTAGTCTATTCTTTACCTCTTTTGTCCACTGCAGCCATCCATTTCCATTACCAATGAGATCGTTCCCTTTTCCCCCTGTCCATGGACTTCAATAATCCCTGGTTAAAGTCGTCTATCTATTCATTAATGTTTGATATTCATCTAATTCTAAACAGTCAAGTCCAAGCGTCCTTTTTCAAAATCAATATCAAGTAAAAGCTCTTCAACGAAGTCCCTAGAAATATTCCACAAATTAGTAACATTCATCTAAAAAAATGTAGTTTCATAATTTCACTAAAGCAGAAAAATATACAAAACATTGATAAGGTCAATCATTCCGTACTATGTTATAATTGGACGGAGTTAAACAGAAAGGAACCAAGCCACATCGGGGTCGAACCGAGAAAAAGAGGTTTAAAGTTTGGCTCCTGTATAAGACTCAATGTAAAAGATAAACTTCAAGTTCAATTTCTGCAAAATTTTCTCCAACAAAAACTTTGAATTTTAGGCGATAGACAGTAGAGCAGTGGTTGAGTTCAAAACCACTCATAACTCAATTTTTCCCAAAATGTGGGTTGGTTCCTTTCTGCTTAGCTCAGTCCAATTGGTTGAATTTATAGAGGTTTCAATAAACTTTGAGTGATGAAATTGAAAATTTGGAATGCAATCATTCCATCCTCACAATCTATCTCTTTTTTCTTCTTCTTCTTTCTTTTTCTTTTCAAAAACGTCTCTAGTCTTCAGAAATATGTACAAAAATTAGAGAGAGCATTCAGTCAAGGATTGATAACTTGTGCAAAACAATATTGAAAATAACCCTTCAAAAACTTTCAGATAAAATAATGATTTCCAACAAATCAACTCTTTGCACAGATTCAGCATCCCTACTCTTTATCCCAGATTCAGAAACATCAGCATTGAGAAGAAGAGGATAATTTGATGAGAGAAGAGTTTAATATTGAGGCGATAATCAGATTAAAAGATAGTGGGGTAAAAATGAGTAAATTAAAATTTGCATTATTATTAGATTCAATTATTCTGATTCTGTTCCTCTCTATACCTCTCTCTTTTCAATAGTAGCACCAATTGTAATTATATCTCTGTTGTATTGACACCGTCACCATCCGTCAAGCAGCCATCATTGTCTATCACAAAACGCCCGGGCAGAGTTTCAAGTTGTGTTGTATATACACCGACCACCTAATGGGAACAAGAAAAATGTACAACAGTTAAAATTGGCATAAAAAAAATGTATGAGAAAAGGGACCCAGATCCGGAAAAATTCAAAATAAATTTATTCATATAATAGCACACAGAAGTGTTTCAAGAATATTTTCGAACTTAAGAGCTGTGATTCTTCGATGGAAGTCGAGTAACATTAGCAATTACCAAACTTAGTAGAACAATTTATTATCCTACAAAAGAATGGCTGCACCGATTCTCTTGGAATGGAGAGGTTGCAATTTGAGCCAAAATCGGCTCCTCGACGGAATCGGGAAATTTGTTGATATTTGGCAGTTGACGACGCATCTTTTAGAGAAAAAATCGGCTTTCGCCGATACTCACATTTATTTTTGGCTCTGAAACTGAGGCGAAAACATGGTTTTGGAGCCGAAATTAGCTAGAAATTCATGTTTTTCGCTGTTCTACCTGAAATTTTGACCTGGGCACAAAGGTGACGAGTCATAAACTTCGAATATGTTGTGAGGGACACCTAGACATACAACATACAGGAATATGGTCAACCGATGTTTATGGGCTCAAGTTCAAAACCGAACTTACCTAACTTTTGAGCCCAAAATAGCTAAAATTACATATTTTCCGCGATTCTACCTCAGATTTTGACCTGGGCCCAAAGGTGACAAAAATGTGAGTATCAGCAAAATCCGATGATTTCTGTAAAATATGCATCGTCAACTCCCAAATATCAAAAAATTTCTCGATTCTGTGGAGGAGCCGATTTCGGCCCAAATTGCAACCCCTCCTTTCAGGGAATTGCCTCTATGACATAATAAATTCTTTTGTAGAGGTAAAAAAAATAAATTGTTCCATTTTGGTGTCAACTGAAGTCACTCTAAGTCATTTGTCTGAGGTTTGCAGAAAATGTGATAAGCAGGGCCAGATGTAAGGGGAGACCACATGAGTTGCAGCACAAGACAGTAAATACTTGAGGACTACAAATTTTCATACCTGAACTGTGGCGTTGCTCGGGATCACAGAAGATTGATCGTTTACATTTAAATGCAGATCAGCTATGTGTACAGGATAACTATTCAGATCAGGAAGTTTCTATGGAGAGAAATGAAACAAGATTAATTAAGAAACTATGAGTAAGCTCAAGTTCAGCAAAGAATATGGATTCTACAAAAGTGGTCTTTCGCTGGTAAAGGATCCTTAGTTCAGGGAGGCACAATTTTCATTACAGCCATTTTGATTGAGCAATTGGGTCAAAAAATCTAATTTTAGGATTTGTACAAAAAATTCCTTAATGTCCTGTGGAATAAGTAGCAAGTGGTTTAGTCATATCTTGAGCATGACAGATTAGAATGGACTTTTAGGCAGGGTGCCGATTAAAAAATTATAATACGATATATGTTTTCTCAATACAATTTTGCTGCATAGAACACAATTTGTCCCATGGAAATTACTGCAAGTAACTCCTTACAAAGAGATAAATGTTTTTCGATGCATGAATTCAAACTCCTGCTCATGAAAAAGACCATAATCTACAAGTGTTAAAGCGCACACTAAATGTTACCATCACAGCCTTTGCAGTATGAAAATATGACAACCTCAATTTCAGGAATTTGGCTCAGTTATTGCACATTATCTACACTTTGAACAACGCAGAGAGAGGAAGGAACACTGCTTATTTAGAGGCCTATCAGAACTGTTGTATATAGGGAGCAATTTGATTCAAGAAGATTCTGGTTTTCTTGTGACCGAATACTTCAAATTTCTCATAATCAATGCTATGTATAAACTTTGATATCTTGGTGAGGAATTGCAGCCATTACTCAGGTTTGTTTGACACTCCATTAGTTTTGTTTGTGTTTCTTTATTCGTTTGACTGCTCTGGTAACAATGACTGGACGTATTTAATTCAAGAGGCAAAAGGCATCTTCATTGTGACCAGTTTGTAAATACACGCATGACAGGCCTAAGTCACAATGACGATCATTTCTTTTGATATACATATAAGCAACTCAATTTTGAGTTTGGATCGAATAGGGTCCCTTTACCTGTGGATGTCACATACAGGGTGTCCATAAAGTACCCACCCTTCTTAACTTTTGAGCAACTAAAGAAAGAGATGAAATTGTGGGAATAATCTTATCATAAAGAGGGTACTAATCTTCTGGGGAGTTAAACATTTTCGGGCCTCCAACTTTTTTTTTATGATGGGAACCCCTTCTTTGTGACACATTGTTAGAAAGAGCATAAAGAAGAAAATCTTTGGCACATATTGTTACTCTCTAGCTATCACCGTTTTAAACTGGCATCTAGGGGTGTTCAAACGAATTCTTGCCGGAACGCTTTCGATATCGTCTCTTATTGAAACTGGCGGCAGTACCGACAGTGGCGATGATATCGACAACAGCCGGCCTTATCGGATTTTTGAGAGCTTGCACTCAATGCATTGTTGCCCCTTGTGTCGGTTTATCAGATTGCCTGGCGGGGCGGCGCATGAAATAGATGTACACATGGCAACAGCTTATTTTCGCCAGCTCCGAAAACTCTGATCGCTATCGGCAAGGGCGCTCTTATCGTAACTTTCTCTTAACGGAACAGTTTCGGTAGCTTACCGACAACCGATAGAACAGCCCTACTGGCATCCAGTCAAGGTTTAGTGAATTTCACTTCATCAGTGGTTTTAAAAGAGAGGAGATGAGAAACCAACATTTCTAGGGCCCGGAGTGTTTTCACAGAAATAAACGCCCTCACACATCAGTTGAAAATGGAACTTAATTTGAAGTTGAAAATGGAACTTAATTTGAAGTTGAAAAAGGAACTTAATTTGAAGTTGAAAATGGAACTTAATTTGAAGTTGAAAATGGAACTTAATTTGAAGTTGAAAATGGAACTGTTACTGTGAAATTTTTAGTGATGTATGAAAGTACTACTTGACATTAGGGCAGTCTCCATCACAAACAAAAATAAAACATTCTATAGCACAGTCAGGAAAAAAATCAAGAGAAAACAAGGATGTGAAAAGTTCCAAGCCTCCCTTCTATTTTTTTTTTTTTTTTTTTCAATGGAATTTACATGAAATCATCAAAAAAATCTGTCAGGCCTCCTGCAATTTTCTCCGTCCTCATAAGGGAAGCAGAAACTGCTCAAGCGCCCAAGCTACAAGAGGAAATCCATAGGCCATTTTTTTTTTTATTAATAATAAGAAAAAAACAGAATAGTGCGCTGAATTTTGAATTTTTTGCACTCAAACATACTTTCGCCATAATTGCCGAATGAAGGAAAGCGGCTGATACTGCAAATGAATTATGCTTCAAAGAGTGTTCTGTCCCTCTCAGATGTCTACCAAAATTATCCATCCCTTCTCCCTAACTCTCCAGGTTTTTCCTATCCCTTGGATTTTCCATCTCTCTGATTTTTCTTGTTTCGTTCAAGTGTTTTTCTTCACATTAGAAGAAGCACAAAAATACAGCTCAGCACAAAATATTAGTGTCGATCGGCAGGGACTGAAATTTCAGGGGTAAAAATGCACCACTGACCGGGAGAGAGCACTGCTGCAGGCTGATTGTTGAAATTGATAGGCAAGGAACACGTAGGGAGTATGGAGCGATCATAATGGTTGATTTGGGTGGTTCTTATAGACTGAGGCAGAAAATGATGGGCAAACTATCGAGTCTCTCATGAGTTGCCGTTTAGTCTATTTCCTACCTCCTTTTTCAATTGCAACCACTCGCTCCCACCAATAGAATCCCTCCATACCTCTTTTGTCTTCTTTGCCTATAGCTTGGTTTATCAATTTCAAAAATCAGCCCGCAGGGCTCAGTATCACAGCACTGTGAAGTTCCAACTGGGGTAAGAAAAAGGTAGACAAATGACACATCAGAAAACAGCGCAATTCAATATGAATGTTTGTGGTAACCAATGTGCAAACTGATGACTGAACTCTGATGTGTATATGCGAAATAATACAGATATCATACATAAGATTGATGCATTCATGTGAAATCAGTCCATTCTTTTCTTTCCCCGGTTCCTGTGCAAAAGGAATCATCACGATCTAGCATTGAGGTTTGCGCCTATCCCAGTAAGGCGATTTATCTCCTTGACCAATTTCATCAACTTCACTAGCCACCTTTGAGTGAGGGTTCCTTCAATTCTAATGACTGGGTCACATTGGGGGCATGTAAGGATTGTTGAGTATACTTGGAATTTCCTCAAATTAAGGATGTTCAAGGACTTGAAAATTAAAGAGCATCACTCTGTGGTCCCAACTAATTTTCTTTTCTTCTTGTGGCATAAATGGACAGAGTTGGACAGCAACTGAGAAAGAAGGATACAGTTATTTCACTCCATTAAGACTTAATGTTGAAGAAAAAGTTAAACGACCATTCTCGCGTTCACATTATTTTTCCTTAGCTTAGAATTTTTAACAGGAGAAAACTAATGACTGATTCAATTCACAACTTTTTTTTTTTGTTTTGTTTTCTCTGAAAGCAACTCCCAAGCTCAAAAAACCTCTCAAGTTGAGGCCGAAACGGAGGGAGTATCCCTCGCCATCCTGACTACTACTCTAACTACTCCCAGTTCATGTTTTGCCGAAATGGGACTTAGTGCATTTCTGTGAAACTTGATCCAAGGGTGCTTGTTGCAATTTCAAATGGAATCATTGTGGTAGCCTGGTGTTTCTTACCTTTTGACCATCAGATATGTGTGGATTCCGACAACCTCTGCATTTGCATTCCAAACAAGCTTTGCTTTCAATGTAGCAAGGACACCGTTGACCACAGCACGTTAGCTTACCAGGTGAAGCAGTTGCATTTCCACACCGACAGCCACTCCTTACAGGCTTAGTGCCAGCTGCTTTTATCTTAGGGGCTGGACTGTAGGAAACCTAATGTAAACATAGAATTGCAAATGTAAAGCTAATGGCAACAATATACAGACACTTCAACAATGGATTTCTTACAGATTAAAAAATAACACGATCAATATAATCCAGAAAAGTGAAACTATAGCCGGGATCTCATCAAAGAAAGTTCACTCTTCAGTGATTTCCTAGGAGGTTGGACTTTTTTTTGCGTCGGAGTATCCAGCTACAATTTCCAAAATCAATATTTTTCAGAGAGAAAAAAAATGAATATATGGGCTGAAAGTTTTTTCTTATTTTCCTTAACCACTTGATAGTAATACTTACTGTAAATTTTCAAACCATTATGTTCATGTTCAAAAATTAAATTGAGAGCAAAAATTTTTAAATGGAGATCCACCAATTGAGGGTTGAGCCACCAAAAAATGTATTCGGTATTAACTGTTGTGATCGGCTTGCAGAATTTCAAGGTCATCCTGTAGTACCAACATGGTATAGAACAATTATTTTTTTTACACCCATATTTTCAAGAAGTTTCAGTAAGAACTAGTTTTATTTTTTTTTAACTTCAACTGACCCTCGAGAGCTAATCCCATCCACTTACTTTTACAGCTTGACATTTTTACTTGTTTAATTTAAAGTTGAACTTCTTTTTATCGGGCTGCATTTTGTTTGATGATATTACCTTTCTCCCGATATAAGTGTTTAAAATTGACAATGGTTTCTGGTTAAATGGCAAAAATACGAATGACGTCAATTGTATGACCAAACTTTCATTTGATCTGCGTTAAAAATACTTTTTAATATCTTGTTCAGGATTTTTTCTAACTTCCTGTTGTGGGAATTGTTGTATATATAGGATTTTGAGGAGAAAACTTGACATTCCATTCCAGTTTATGCCTTGTCTAGGGGCTCTTTGTCAGATTGTATAATGTACCCATTACTGACCCCTTGACAAAGACTATTCACAGTATCAAGCTGATACTACAGACATACTTGCTTTCAAAAATTTAAATAAATGACAAAATGATTCGTACCATGGGTGAGTGATGCTGAGAATGAACCGGATGGTCCTGTGGAGGAACGACTTTCTTCACTGTTTTTTTCTTGATGATAGGTCTAGATATTCTTGGCGAATTTAAAGAGGGAGCAATTGGAGTAGAGCTGTTGAGAGTTTTGATAGTATTTGCTTTCCATTGTGTGTTATTCCTAAAAGCGGTCCGTAAAACTGAAGAGTCATTAGAGGACTGATTAGATTGCAATGTTTGGGTTGATGAATTTGTGTAAACACACGGTAAAATACTGTATGCAGACTTCGATAGACCTATTGTACTCTTGAAATTGTCCTTAAAACCTGAGCCTTCGCGTATGATATCTAATAAGCTAGAAGAAGCATTACTTTTTTTAACATTACTACTGCTGTCTATTTGAGATGCGGTTCGAGATAAATGCGTGAGTGTTAAGGAACATGACATGATGTATTCACACATCTTTTTGTAGCACTGCAATAGTAGACGAAGATGCACATTGTCAATGTAATCATCATCATTTTTACACCATACACATGCAGGTTTAATCCGTTTCTTGCCTCCTTTGCAAAGTTTACAAACGTGATGTTGACAAGACGTTGCTGATGGCGTACAAGGCTCGATTAAAAGCTCACCACACACCGCACAAGACAGAGATTGTCGCAAATAAGGAATTAGTGTGCATAAATCAGTCCACACGGAAGGATCATTCTCTTCAACTTGCATCACTAATTTGCAAATAGAAACATACAAACTAGTAGGATTCATGACTGCAGGTTAGTAAAATACTTCGGTAAGTGCACATGAATATAGTCTTATGTGTCAACAACACTTCACTTCACCTCAGCGTTGGAGAGGAATACTACACTGTGTTCGTATTTCAGCTTACAGATCAGACAACTACGTAAAATCCAAGTCAAATAATTGCAAATAATCACAAAAATAACAAAAAAACTTATTTTAGCCGGCCAAAATTCGATATGAATGTACAATTTCATCAGTAACAATACCATCTAATCATACCTGGCCATGGGTTTGAGGTTAAATGTTCGTAACTCCCGAGAATACACGGGATTGTATAGGGCGAACTTACAAAAATTGATTCTTCTTACATAAAAAGTGCTTGAATGCGGGGAAAAAAATTTGTTACGAAGGCTCTAAGCAAGGTAGACCGTTTGAGCTAAATATATGCGACCGAATTGCGTTTTAATGGAAGAAAAAAAATATTTAATAATGGTAGTGAAGTCATATGGGGAATACAAGGCACGTGATCATCCAGAAGATTTGGTTCGTGAAGCGAGATGTCTTCCTGACGCTAGGTGATGCTACTATGCTAGTTTAGGTCCCAACCGCAAAGTAGCGAGTAAAATAGACTCCTGAATACATGCCCCTTTGAGAAAAATTGGTTTTTTCACCTTATTTCGGTGCAAGTTAGTATTTATTTGAAGGAGGGGGGGGGGACCATTTCAACTCTTATGATTTAAAGGTAGAAATTTTATTTTGTAACACATTTTGTTACATTCCATACAAGAAAAATTTAGAATGGGTAGAGATAAAGAAGCTGAATATAAGAGTATCTCTTGGAGCTCGAAAGAAACGACCGTTAGCGCTATGGCCGCTATGTCTACGTCGGGAGCTATTACTCACACACTCTTACACGTATTCTCCAATGGCCAGGTATGATTAGATGGTATTGTCAGTAATCAGTAAGTATTTTCCTTGTGACGGTGTTAGTTAGAGTGGAGTGGAGCGTGGAGCATAGAGAGAGTGGAGTGGAGTGGGTGAAGAGCATGGAGCATGGATGGAATAATGTCCATGGTGGAGAGTCAGAGGAGTGAGAGAGGGGCGCGGTTGGGAGAGTGGTGAGGGAGGGAGAGGGGATTGAGAGTCGTACCGATATATCGAATCTAACCATCTAAACGCTCCTTTCGTGACGTCAACACTCATTTGTGAATCTAACATGGCGGTCGTTGTTGGTTGTTTATGATAGGTATCTCACGGACTCTAACTACAATTTTATTTTAAAGTTGGTGAAATTAGTCTAATTAATATTCTCAAGGGACTTTCCCAGTGCTCATGTGTGTGTCATAACTCCGTTTGTTCTTCAACTACTCTCCCAGTGCCAGTGATCCCGAACAGATCTCACGGATTCTGTTCCGAACGCTCCTAAAGTACACGAAAAATTATGTTTACGTTATTTTGATAGGGTGGCTCCAACCAGACACAGGTTCTCATGTCCTCGCCAGCAACCACCAACTCGTTCACCGAGATCTCTTAGTGTATTCATAACAATGGAGCGTTTATTGCTATGATAGCAAACCAACCTCTTATCGCTTTCCGCTGAAGGTATGTGCATTTTGTGTCAACCGTGTCTTTGACAGCCCTACTGCCAAGGAAAGAGACTTCGCTCCAAAAGTCTCTCACTATCCACCGATCATTCATGACAGACCGTAAATCTAACACCCTAGGTACTCTTCAAGAGTTGTAACTTTGATTCAAGGAACGCAAGAATCGCACACCGCATCTCTCAATCTAGGGCTCATGTGAGAATACAGAGGCACCTCGAATGAAGAGCATCACAATCTAATTTTAACCTTTGTATTTCCTAAAATTTAAACCATGCGTGCAGTAAGTTTTTCTGATGCAATCAACCGACTTTTACTATCCTGACTGGCAGGTGTGCAGTTTGATAAAAGTTCGTCAACTTCGAATAGAAGGTGTTCTGCTGAAACAATACCTTATAGTTATGGGAAACCCTTGCTTCTTCCATCAGTAGAATGTGCACATTATGGCAGTTAAAATTCATCTGCTGCTTATGCAGCACTTAGTATAATATCAGTAATGAGACACTGCGGGAGAAAATTTGCACAGGTATTCGCTACATCAACAGCTTTGGACCTTTGCTTTTTTTCTGGAGGGCACTACTCTCAGGGATTCAGTCGTACGGGTCAATTTCATCTTTTTGTAATTCAACAGATTTGAATCAATCATCAATATGCTCCTAGTTTAGAATATGGGAGGTAATGAGGTTTTCTCTCAATGATTCCACTGATCACCGGATTATGTTCTGAAACGGATGTAACTGTACTTACTGACAGCATGACTGGTGACAACAGTATAAAACTCATTGGTACAACTGACCACAGAGGTAGTGGTTATTTCTCGGTTACTTCCTTTGGTGGACAAGCAAACCCAATTTTGCCGCATCAGCAGCATATTTTTATCTTTAAAGACGGCTGATAATATTGGTAATCTTGGTAGATGTGGACACATTTATGCTAAAAGAAACTATTTGCTCAGGGATTGGGTGTAATGTAGTTCCTTTTAGCATGAATACATCCATTTGGTCTTCAGTAAAATTAAACCGATGTGCTCATATAGGATTAGTCTGGAATACCTCTCGGGAACTCTTTCATTCTTACCAGGAAAATGAAATAAGTCATTTACGAAGAATATCATTTGCTCCTTAACTCCTTTATTTTTTTGTAACTTGATTATCATTTGCATCACTTCCAGATGTCCAAAACTACAACAAAATCCTATGGGCGTGGAAAGTATTCCAACCATCCCAACACTGCGCTGCAAACAAGTATACAGTTCGACAAAGCAGCAAGTGCCAAAACCAATAAACCAACGGCAGCCAAATCCACCGGCACAGTTGGAAAATGGGGAATAACATCTTTCACATCCATTCGCAGCGTTAATCCTACTGGATCAAAATTCACCGTCGGTAAGTTTTGTTTCCTTTCTCTCGTTTCAACAAGTCCCAAAAGAATTTTTCTCACATGTTGATTGGTTGTAGAAAAGAAAGATTATTTTGAACACAGTTGTTCCAAAATAGAGGAACGTAAACCCATTCCAGATTTTTGTTCGCAATTTTATCATGGTGAACACCATATATTGAACAGAATTTGATTTCCTCCTAACTTAATACTTCTGCCAATTTGAGTTTTCAACAGCTTGACACGGTGAATCTAAAAATATTTAAAAGCTCTTGAGTCACAAGGAACCATCTTCATTGGGACCTGGGCCTGGCAGACTAATTATTGAAAGTGATAGACGAAGAAGAAAAAGAGAAAAACAAGCGATTTTACTGGTTTGAGTTGGTGGTTCTTTTTTAACTGAGGAGAAAAATGATGGACTAACCTAAAGGTCCCTCATCGATTGCTGTTAGTTAGTCAAGTCCTTACTTCCTTTGCCCATCAAAACCACCTGCCTTCACCAAAATGATCACTCTATTTTGTCCTTATTTGTCTATAAATTTCAATATTCAGCCTGCAAGGCCTTGAGATCCATGATAATACCAGGAGTGTTGAAGCTCTAAGCCTCCCCTCATTCTTATCTTAATACATGATTGCTTTCTTCTGAAGATAAAAAAAGAGTAAATTAGAAGGAAAAACCTTTTTACCCCCAAAATCGGACATTTCCAATGCTACAGTGACAGGGTTCCTTCAATCTCTCCTGTTTTCACAGGGATTCCCCTCGGGATTGTAAATTGCTCTCCACCGTGCAGTCATGACCAAATTGTGAATGGTTTTCTGTTCTTCAACTCGTGTGGAATCAAGCTGTTTTGGCACACATTCTTAAATTATCCAAAAATTTAACAAAAATTTTGATCAGCGAGCTTTATTGACCTTTTTGCGCATTTTACTAAGATATAGGGCATTGCAGAGCGGAGGCCTAGAAAAATATGCACCCCTGATTCCCTTGCTTTTTCTCATTCTTATGGGGAGTCCCCCATTTCATTTGACTAGGCTATGGACCAAGAGAATAATTAAGGACCCCCAACTTCAGTCAGCGGCAACACTAGGGGTGCCTGGCAGAGGGTCTAGTGAACTGAACTGACGATAGGGTTCTCCTGATCTATGTTTCCATGCACAACCTACTTAGGCTTATCACTTGGTGCTCATGGAAGTTTCTAGATCCTCGTGGTCGTTCTGAAGTTCTGAAGAGTTTAATGTGAAAAGTTTCCCATTTTTATTTCAATCTTTATAAATCTTCGGGTATATAACCTGGTAATAATGTGAAGTGTCTTTTGTAACCTTTTTACTTAGCAGCAACTGCTGTTGAGGAAGCAAAAGGAAAAGTATATGTAGTGTTCAGCAGGATTGTACTTTTAGCCGAAGGCGTTTCTTTGGTTAACTGAAATCTTTTTAGAGAGAAATAGTGTTGTACTGATAAAAATCAACTGAGTGTCACAAAATCAGAGATACTTGTTTTCAAGCATTACCTAATTCAAGTGGGGGGTGGCTTTTAAGTGTCTGGACTTTAGTTGCCTCTCAGCCACCTTCATGTGGTAGTAGCTCAGTTATATTGAATTCCAATGTTGCTTTGTCTCTCACTTTGGAGTTGTTTTGAACTAGCTCATCAAGCTTAATTGTTGCCCATCTCAGAAATTCTACCTCAAGTATTCAACATTGACGCAAGTCCATTTCTAATGATTTAAAAAAAGAAAAATATTAATCTAAATGTTGCCATGGAGAAAAAAATCCGAGAGTTCTTGTTCTCTAATTTGTTTCAAAAGGAGGAAAATCTTTAATCTTGAAGGTATCTTAGTTTTTTCCCTATCTTTTAGATTCCGTTTTTCTTAAGGCTGTGAATTTCATAGCGTGATACATTCATGGAGTTTTTGGTGCCCCTCTCCTTCAAGTAAAATAACTATGAAATGAATTTCTTAATAAAATGAGGTAATCTCCTGTTGAATGGAAGACCTTTGAGAAGGAACTAATGGAGTTTTATGTCTTGATACAGGGAAACGAGATGCTCGTAAGGAAGCAGAAAAGAGGCAAGGAGCTAAAAATGAAGTGATTCCTGAAGTGCCACCTGCACCTCGACCAAAGAAGTTTTTCAAGAGTCGGAACCAAGGGGACTCAGCATCTCAGGAAAAAGCGTACCAGTCTACCTCAAGTTACTCGGCATCATCTGCTAGAAAGTTGTCTCCTTCAAAAGATAGGTAGGCTAAAATTCCTTTCTTACGACTACCAGGCTCAGAAATTAAGTGTTCAGCACCTATTTTATCATCAATATTTCATTTAGAAAACGTTAAACATGGGCAAAACTTCCAAAATTATCTCTCAAGTCAGAAATAAACGTTTGTAGTATACTTTATAAACAAAAAATTCCAACTTCCTGCTCAAGAAAGAATTATAATCAACTTCCTTAGGCATTGAAATCAACCTAGGCATCCAGCAAATAACTAGAGCTTGCTTTCACATGCATTTCCTTTTTCTTCTGCCACAGGGTATCTTTAATCTTGTTAAAAAAAAAGTTAATATGCTAGAAAATTCCTCCATTGTAAAATATACTAAAATAGTGCTCAAACATCAGACTTGAGTAGACTCGGATTTTTTTTTGTGAATGAAAAGTGTAAGTTAATGTCGACAAAAACTGTTATTCTATAATTAATGAGTCTAATTTGAAAAGCTTCAATGTGCCTCTTGTATTCTACATAAAATAATGATGAGAAACCATACAATTTTATCCTCCAACTCCATTTCACCGTTTAAATATTGCCAAACAGGAGAAAAGGTTTATATTGCCCCAGAAAGTCCTTAAATATACTTTTCATCTTTTATCAAATTTTCAGGTATTTGAATATCTGTGAACTTTGAAAGATTGTCTTAGTGTAATTGAGGGTCAATAAAATTCAAATGGACGTCATTTTGCATTTAGGAATTCCTATGCATTTTAAACTCGTGCATAAAAGCATAGCTATGTATATACATCTGGGCATTCATGGCACACTTATTGTTTCTAAATCAAGACTTGTCATCATTGCGAGTAGCTAACCTCTCGTCAAGTGTGTTCATTCATTCAAACGCGATTTTCCCAAAAACTTAGCTCCAGAAGAAAAAGCACTGGGTACTATTTTCCGACATTTTTTCATGCCCAACCCAATAAGAATAGCACCTTCTTTGACCAAAAAATCAAGTTTATTGCATAAAAGATTCAAGATTCCCTGAAATCCCCTTTTTACGTTAAGTTTTGATATTATACAACTGTTACTAAAATTCAGATAAAAGGAAGATTTCTCAAAAAATTTGAGAGGCCATAGCTCCCTCTGGGAGCATTTTCAGAAAAAACTTCAAAAAGAAAGTAAAAGTCTCATCGTGACACAAAGAACACACTCCTACAGCATAACCGTTCAAACCTACAACACCCATCATATTCAACAATCATGGACGTGCAGAAGATAATTGATCCAATAAGTTGGGGGAATTTTTTCATGCTGATCAAAAGAAACCTGAAATCATTAAAGACATATTTTCTCGAAGTCTGTTAAAACTTCAGTGAGTATGATGCATCTATAGTAAATGCATAGTGTAGTGTCCTTGTAAATTAGTTGTGAATTTTATGAATCTCATTTATTATTTTTCCAGACAATCAGAACTGATACGAGCAAATGATGAAGGAAAGAAAGAAAATTCAACCAGGAGGGAGTCTGTCGAACAGACAGAAGCAATGAACTTATCTTCTTCCCCGACCAAAACCACACCAGAGCGAGATGCAAGTAAACCACCCATCGTTCTCCGAATTTTTAAAGGAACATCCCAGCTACTAACAGAGCCCCTGCGGAACAGTAACTATGAAAGCAACAGAGCAGTAATACCCGAAGGCAAAACGAGGAGTCATAAAAATAGTAAAAGCGAGTTTGTCGGCAAAGCAGAAAAGGTCGAGAAGCCAAAAGCACCTCGGAATCTGCGTCGGAAGCATACTCCCGAATCCTCTGAAAACGAAGAGCATACCGTACCAAAGAGAACATTACGCGATCGTAGCAAGCTCAACAAAGTTATATCTTATTCAGATGCAGACGACTCCGAAGAAATCTACATGAAGGATGTGTCCAGTAACTCAAACTTGGTCGAGAACCAAGAGAATCTCTCAATCAATTATGTTACAAATAACAATAATGATATTGTGAATAAGTACAACCGAACAGAAGAACTTTTGAACGAGCTCAATGAGTGTGCCACAGTTACAGCCCCAAATTCTGCAGCGGAGGACTTGAAAAGTGAATCAGCTCAATCTGAAAATTTAGAAGAAGACAGGCGTAAGCTTCTGGAAGTACTAGAGGGTAGTGATGATGAAAAACCAAAAGACAAAACTGATGCAGAGGGTGGAATCGGTATTGAAGCAGCCATCCAAAGCTCAGCATTGTGCCCTCCAGCTGAGGTGAAAGAGTTTCTACCAAGCACGAGCTCGTTGCAGCCGATGCCTCATGGAGACGTTTCGATGACTGATTCAGGTATGGAATTAGCTTAAATGTTAGTGCAGGTATTCCAAATTACAAAAGTCAATATAGCATTGACTGACCATTCCATCAAACTCTTGTTTGCAAAATATTCATTTAGGTACAGCTCGTGAACCCGCTCTGTAATCTTTGATTCTTACGCATTTGAAAAGTAGAGAGTGCATTCAATTTGCTAACATTTTCCTGAATTTTTTTTTAATTCTATTAATTAATGATGAACAAAGCAAATTTGGAGCTCTCTTTTACTTGCGCATTGTTGACAAAGCTATGATTGTATCTGAAAATATCCCGTGTACTGTAAGTACACTTTTGATTGGGACAGAGGCACCCCTTTTCTCTAAAAAGTACTTTCGGCAAGAAGTATATTCTAGTAGCCCATGCTGTACAGTACGTTTTTAACACTTTTTAATGCGGTCAACATACCACCCGCGATTTCTTTGCGGAAATGTCAACTAGAAGGCCTACTGATTGAGGAACAACAAACCGCAAAATCTGTAGTTTAGCACTTTTTGAGAAAATGCGATTTTTCGCTTTTTTGGCGGGAATTTCGGGTCAAGACGCTGAAAAAGTCAAGTTAGGCTGTTTTTGTGGCTTGTAAATGCATATCCTATACATTTTTAGTCAATCAAGTGTCAGTAGATAGCTATTCGTCCATATTGCCAAAAATTGCCCCCAAATTGCCTAAATTTCAAAATGGGGGCCATAGTAAGGTCTCCGGGATTTCAATTTTTTTTAAATACGCATACAGTGTCATATAAGGTGTCAACTCCTATGTAATTTTGGTCGTAGATTTCAGATATGAAGTTAAAAAAGTCCCCCGGTCAAAGGGGGTACCCCAAATCCAAGATGGCAGCTAATTTTGAAAAACAAGAGGGTGAATTTTTAAAATGTTCGCGTGATAAGGCAAGTGAGGTATCATTTCTTATGTAATTTTGGTTGTAGATTTCATTTATGAAGTCATTAAAGCCCTCCAGTCAAAGGGATTGCTCCGAATGCCAAGATGGCGGCCAAATTTGAAAGGCAGGAGGGTGAATTTGTGAAATGTTTGCGTGAAATCCATAGTAAAAGTGAATCAGCCTGACGTCAGGCTATGTTTCATAAACTACCCTGAGTCAGACTGATGTCAGCCAGAATTAATTGACATTTCCGCAAAAAAATCGGGGGTGGTATGTTGACCGCATTAAAAGTGTTAAAAACGTACTGTGGCTGGCTTTTTCAGCAGTGCATGTTTAAGTGGGAGAACTTTCAACTTGTTTTGCATGGCTCAATATAATTTAAAAAAATCTAAGAAAACAGTTGCAAACCACAAAGATAGTTACAACAAGATTACCAAAAGCAACATCAAGTGAAGTGTTATTAAAAAAAGCATATCAGGTGTAAGAAGAGAAATAAAATATGGGATAGTTAATGTAATATTGACTGACAGTTCAATTTAAGTATGGTATGCTGAATATTCATCTACATACATCCTGTAGTAAGATATGAATGTATGCTTTAACTAGAACCCAGAGATGAGAAATTTGCGAATTAAAACTACCAGTTGCCTCAGGATGACTATTCAAGCATAAATAAACAACAAGGAATAGATCAGCGAAGAAAATTACGATAAGCTAAACTTGAGCCAAAAAGTCTAGCACAGTTTTTAGTTTCATGTGCAGCAGGCTGTTTATTGGAATTGATAGAAAAAGCGATAGACGCAGGAGACAAAGGGAAAATGGAGTGATCCTATTGTTTGGAAAGGATGGTTGTTGTAGACTAAAAGAGAAAATGATGGACTAACCCCAGGGTCTCTGTAGGGTTGCTGGTAGTTAGTCTATTACTTACCTACCTTGTCCATCACAGTATCCCGCTTTTACGAATAGGATCGCACCGTTTTCAATTTGTCTCCTTTGTTCATGACTATGTCTATCAATTTCAGTAATCAGCCCAGTAAAGAACAGCTATTTCTGGCTCATTTTAGGAAAACTAACGGCACATTATGTTGTGACTAGATTTTTAAAATACATTACGGCAAATTTTAGATTTTTTGACCCCCCATCCCCTGTTGTAACGCTTTTGTCACATAGGTCCCTATCCTTCAACAAAAGATAACCAAATGCTGCAATGCCCTCCTCGACCATCTCTCCTCCCCTTACAGCGTCAGCTGTTTTATCAACTTTTTTGTTTAATAAGTGTTTTTATGGGGACGGCAGAAATGGTAGATCCATATTATTGCAAAATGTAGTCCAAATAACAGTAACAATTATAATAAATTTGGAAAAGAAGCAATTTAAATGCGTTACATCCCATTACTATGGCTCAAAATTGTCTGTCATAAATGCGAAGTCGCAACCGCTAATGCCACAAAATTGGATTGATAAGTTTGCAACCTATTCTGTTGGAAAATGGGGAGTATTTTCATCCTAAAATTCAAATTTTGATTATTTTTTTTCCCTTTCAATATAATTAAAACAAAAATTTGCCTTATAGCTCCAAAAATTTTTCTTTTTGTGAAAATTCACACATATATTTGAAATTTTTTTCAAGTAATTGAACATTCTTATCAAGTCTTGTTAACTGCTGATGGTAGTATGTTTCTTAACCAAGAGGAAGAAAACAAGCACTTAGACTGTCTCTTTTTTTTTTAATGTAGGTATGGGCAGCTCTCAGGACTCAGATAAAGCCCCGAATGCAGAGGGAGGTGAATGGTTATCAGATGAAGATGTGGAGAATGATAATGACGGCTCCGGTGCTGTGGTTTCAACGGACAACGTCAGCGAAACAACAAGCCAAGCTGATGTACCATTCGCAAGTAAACGCAGCATATTCAAGTCGCGAGTGATCACCGGAGATAACAAGAAGCGCCTAGCATTGTACAAGCACAAGTGGTGTGACGATAAGGACAAGGACTCTGCAGTGGAAAAACCCCCGAGTACAGTCCTGAGCAACTCTGTTGCAGAGGGCAAAGATGAGTTTGATTTTGGACCTGAGTCCCTCACAAGAGTTACAACTGTCAGCTCTGCAGACTCGGGGGTTGGCTTTGAAAATGACTCCGAGTTGATCACAAGGATAAAGTGCCCAAAGGAAGCCAAAGGAGTAAGTTTTGATCCTACCTTTCTTTTGATTACTTTGTCCTCATCCAATGGATTATCAACAAAACGCTTTCAACTTCTGTAAAGAGCCTTGCCAAAAAGGGGTGTTTTTTAGCCCCTTTTTGGATACCCGAGTTGGTCAACCAGACAAGGCTCAAATGAAAGCTCATGGTAAGGCAAATTTTCAGGCAAAGTTCCAACTTGAAATGAGTTCCCGTTTAGGCTGTACAGCGTTGCCAATTTTTTTAATATTTAGGTGCTGATATCAAGGAATTCTGGACTATTAGTCCAGTGAACAGACTAGTATACCCAAGTTGATCGACGGTACAAGGCTCAAATGAAAGCTTATGGTAAGGCAAACTTGCAGGCAAAGTTTCAATTTGAAGTGACCCCTCATTTAGGCTGTACAGTGTTGCAAATTTTTCATTTTTATGTGCTGATATCAAGGAATGCTGGACTATTAGTCCAGTGCATTATAATTTCACAGGCTTGCACATCGGTCTACAGGCTGAATATTACCCTGAGATCGCATCATATGTTGCGACCTTGTAACCTCGGTTAATGTTGAGGATTAGTAAGGGGAAACTGGCTCATTTCGCGAGAATATCGAATGACCTTTAAAACAGTGTATTTTGGGGTCCGAAACTCCCCCTTAAAATTAGTTTGAAGTAATTTCTGTGATTTTTAATTAAAAGTGCTTAAAATTTGGTAAATTTTCCCGTTTTATTTTTTTCTTTACGATAATTTGAACCGGAGGTATGATTTTTGAAAATAGATCAAATTTGACTTTTGACCCATCATAACTCGGTTAATTGATATTAAGATATTGATTTGCGGTTTGTGCCAAAATTCTTAGTTTTTTATGCTCTTTCAAATGATGTATCACAAGATAGGGATTACCATTTAAAAAAATACCGAGCCCCCTCCCCCCGAGGGGGGGGATAAAAATTTTGAACCCCCTGGAAGATGGTCCCATTTTAGATAGAAACATTCCCAAAGTTTCGTTTTTCTATCTCTAACCGTTCAAATTTTACGAGGGGGGGGGGGCTACGAACTCTTGGGACACCTTGTATATCGAGGGAAGAAGAATCTGAGCAGCTAGGGTGGCAAAATTTCATGGAAAAAAAGTTGCGAAATTTTACCTGAAATATCTCATGAAATTTCTCAAAGATCTCAAATCGTAAATTGTTACCTGATGCTGAATAATTATCAAAACGATACCAAAATTGTCAAGAGACGTCATTTTATTTGTTTTTATAACTGATGTTTCCTCTGCTAGAAAAAGGAATAAAAATCCAGAGCTAGATAAGAAAAATCAGGCTATTCAGGGTTTACTTGTGTTTTTAGTGCAGGTTGCATACCCTGCCCTTGAAATATATGTCTCATATTTTTCAAAAATTCACAGCCTCATGACATTTCATGAAGTTGTTCACTGAAATCTCTAATCTCTCGCAAGTTTCTTTCGTTTCAGTGTCGCCCTATGAACAATTATCACATTAATAATATATTACCTTGGATCCAGTATTCTTTTGATGGTCCGTGGTTCAGGTCTGGTCTCAGGAGATATCGTAACCGTGTATTTGCCTCCTGAAAATACACAAAAAACATGGAGTGGTTTCAAACAGAAATTTGAAATCCCTGACCGCCTTGAACATATGATCTTTGAATTTTTACCTGAGAACGTGTCTCATGTTTTTTTCTGAATTATTTAATATAATCTTAATAATTAATAATTATAAACTTAAATATCTTAATAATTTTTTCATGAATATATTATACTGTTCACAGTTTTACACAGTTGTAAGAAATGTAAAAAGGGCCCATCAAATTCAAGAATCTGGAGAGTTTCAAGAATTTAATGATGATGTAGAATATATTCTTGATGCTTTGAAAGATAACAACCCCATCGGGACAAGGTAAGTTTTGCACTGAAGTTAAGCTCAGCTAGTAGTGCTCTATGACTATTCAATCACATACAATAGAATCAATTTAGAAAGAACCCAACTCTTTTTTTTACAACCACTTTTTCTCACTCTTTTTCTCTCTATCATTAATTGCTCTAGATTGTTAATCTCTCTTCTAAGATATGTGCTCTTGAAGGTGTCAGAATTATTTAAATTACAATTACGGAGATTAGAATGATATTTTGTCCGCAAAGAACTGAACCTAGAAATTGGCATTTTTGAACTTAGTATGTTCAGTAATGATTCCAGCGGTTTTATATCACAATATTGACGGTGAAATTCAAACCATGCATCTCAGTTTGTGATGTTGCATACTTTGTGTCATACTTTGTTTTAGAGTGGAAAACTATTCAACACCAATCATGTAAGATCCGCAAAAAATTATGTGGATTTGCTCTCCTTTAAGAAAATAAAATGGGGGTGGAGATTTTGAAACACTGTAAACAAGGGACATAATTTGGGGGTTTCACTGTCGATATGCCACAAATATGCTTGCATGTACCAAGAGGATAGTTTTTTTATCAGAATTTGTCAGCAATCTGCTCTTTTAAATCTTCAGAAAAATATTCTTTGATATCAAACATCACTGACTCCACTTTTTTCCTTATTTTCTCTGTGTTTTTCAAAGACCAGAAGAATATAATAGATTTGCAAGATAAAATAAATAAGTAATCAGATCGTTCAGATATTCAGTTTTTTGGATCAATTTACCCAGTGCATTTTCAGGTCCCAAGAAATCGCTTCTACCGTTTATGAGGAAATTATCTTTTCAAAGAGTTGAAAGCCAAAAATTGAGAAGAAATCACTACTTGTCACGGTGCCTTTGCCAGTCGCAAGTCAATCAATATGTTTTTATCCTTTTCGTTCACTTCCTTCTTTCGCACAGCCGTTTTCCCCTTACTCCTGACTTGTCGACCCTTTTCTTGCTCTCTTCCAGTTGCTGTCACGTATGTCCTTCAATGTTTACCTAATATTTTTGGTTAAGTCACCAAAAAGAAGGATAGCAATCAGTATTTTGCAAATTATGTTTTCTTTACAATACGACTAATTTAAGACTTCTTTATCTGTTGATCCTGCTCGAATATTGAAGTTTGGTTTATTTTAATTTTCTTTTTTTCTTCCAAGAATCTTGAGAAAATAGTTTGTACTTAATAATTGAATCGGCTCGTGCGAAAACCGCTAATGTCCATTTTTTTCAATTTTGAGATTTTTGAGTTAAAATACTCTCGGAGGTTAGACACACTCATTAATGTGGTGAAAATGTTTGTTCCTTAGGTTTGAAGCCCTTCTCAGGGGGGGTCGTGGTCCGAATCATGCGAAAACCGCTAATGTCCATCTTTCGTTATATGCCTCATTATACTGTACAACAAACCAAAATAAAAAAATGTCTCCTGGACGAAATTAGGTGATCTACTTGCACTTTAAGGCGCTGAATCCGAATATGACCTCCGTTTTTTTCCTTCACCCTCCAATTTTCCGGAAAAGCCAATTTTACTCGGAAAAATGACCATTTTGGGGAATTTTCGGTGTTTTTCTGTCTGCTATCCCCTGCATAATGCAGATAAAATTTTTCGTAGCTACGAGATTCAATTATGCCGATGTCTTTTTAACTGATGAGTCCGGAAATGACCTCAATTTTTCCCGTTCACTTCTCAGTTTTCCGGGAAAGCAACTTTATCCCGGGAAAATGAGCAAATCCGACGCATATTTATCGTGCATGCAATGTATTTTTATAAATTTTCCTGGACCCGTGGTAGCATGTTACTCATGTATTTTGAGCTGCTAAATCCGAATATGACCTCGGTTTCTTTTTATCACAATTCAGATTTCCGGTACAGCCGAGTTTTCCGAGCCTAAAATTGTGTATTGTAAAAGCTTTGCCGGATCGAAGTGTATTAAAAATTCATTGTATGAATGTCTCCGACATATGATACATCGGTTCCTTTGTATTTTGATCTGTTGAATTCAAATATGATCTCAGATTTTTCCGATCACCCATCATTTTTCCGGAAAAGTCGCTTTTCCTAGGAAAGCGCTCTTTTCAGATATTTTTACGATTGATTTTTCTGCTCTAGGGAGTTTCAGAAATTTTCCGAGATCCTCTTTCGGTCTCTCTTGCTGTATTAAGAGGCACTGAACTTGAATTTGACCTTCACTCATCTTTGACAACCCCCCCCCCCCCCNGATTTTTCCGGGCCAAAGGCTTTTCCGGACTGTTCCCACTTCCAGGGAAATTCAAAACATTTTCCGCATGTGTGATACATCGATTCTCATGTAATTTGAGCTGAAAAACCCGAATATGACCTTAGAAATTCGTTATCACCTAACGGAGAATATCTGAAACTCCCTAGAGCAGAAAAATCATCGCAAAAATATCTGAAAAGAGTGCTTTCCTAGGAAAAGGTGATAACGAATTTCTAAGGTCATATTCGGGTTTTTCAGCTCAAATTACATGAGAATCGATGTATCACACATGCGGAAAATGTTTTGAATTTCCCTGGAAGTGGGAACAGTCCNTCATATGTCGGAGACATTCATACAATGAATTTTTAATACACTTCGATCCGGCAAAGCTTTTACAATACACAATTTTAGGCTCGGAAAACTCGGCTGTACCGGAAATCTGAATTGTGATAAAAAGAAACCGAGGTCATATTCGGATTTAGCAGCTCAAAATACATGAGTAACATGCTACCACGGGTCCAGGAAAATTTATAAAAATACATTGCATGCACGATAAATATGCGTCGGATTTGCTCATTTTCCCGGGATAAAGTTGCTTTCCCGGAAAACTGAGAAGTGAACGGGAAAAATTGAGGTCATTTCCGGACTCATCAGTTAAAAAGACATCGGCATAATTGAATCTCGTAGCTACGAAAAATTTTATCTGCATTATGCAGGGGATAGCAGACAGAAAAACACCGAAAATTCCCCAAAATGGTCATTTTTCCGAGTAAAATTGGCTTTTCCGGAAAATTGGAGGGTGATGGAAAAAACGGAGGTCATAATCGGATTCAGCGCATCAAAATACGTGAGGGTAACTTTCTTTACCCGAAAGGCATACTGAAAAATATGCATTTTCGATTATTTAGAACCGGCCATGCACGAATCATGCGAAAACCGCTAAAGTCCTGAGTCTTTTCTTTTTAATTATTCCGTCCCAGACAGAGGAGGAGCTGGAAACTGTTAGGGATCCTTTTCTACAATCCTCTCCTGTAATAATTAACTTCTGAACATTTTTTAATTCCGCATTTTAAAGGCTCCTACAGTTTTTTGCAGTTCTCTCAAAAGTAGAGAAAATGGACATTAGCGGTTTTCGCAGGAGCCGATTCAATTGCTATCGTTGCCTACAAAACAAGTTAGCCTCATACTTCTGCATTTTGTATAAATTGAAACTCTTTCTGCTGGCCTTTAATCGTCATTTACTTTTTTTTTCTTTTTGATAAGCAATGATGCAAGCAAATATTAGATGTCACATACTTCCATCTTATGAAACAGGACTTAAACCAATTCCTCATTTCCCTACTTACCCGTAAATTTAATTGATTCCCAACTATCCGAATAATCTTTGAAGGCTTGCAACAGATCTCTATCGATATTATTATGATAAATGGGAGATTTGCTCTGTACTGTTTGTTGTAGGAACACTAAAAAGTACCTTTTAAAAATTTCATATTTTTGCATACTATTCTCTTTCATAACAGTGCTGTTTTAAGTCTCTCTACAATAAGAGTTTTTAATCCTTGAAATTTCAGATTTTATAGTAGGTAGTTAATTACCATGAGCTAAATGATGCGAGATTTGGCATAATCTCTCCTTAGAAAGCATTTTCAAATAATTATTTTTCCCCTAAAGTTGGGCCAAAATGTTTCTTTGTTATAATAATTTACAAAATATTTGGTAACTTCTTCTCTTTCGATGTCTGTTTACTTCCTGGGAGGAATCTTCTTAAGGGTCACTTCTAATTTCCCCCTTTTTTGTTTCCCCTCTCAATTTTTTTCCAAACATCTAAAAATTCAATGTTCCACTCAAATCTAAACCCATTGCATTATAACCTACCGAATTTTCGATCATGTTTGATTTTTCAATAGAAAACAAAGCAACATCCTTCATCAAGTTTTTTTTTTTTTTCAGCATACTCTTCAGAATTGAGGAGAAATGCAGCGAAAAGAATCAAGATAACGTGTTGCTTTGTTTCTTGCGAAAAAATAAAACATTGGCCAAAATCCAGAAACCTGTAATGCAGTTAAGGTGCTTTTTTTCGAAGTTATATGCATAAAGTAAAAATTTTCTGTAGCTTTCATTTCACTGACCCCATGGTTGTATAACACCCACTTATGAAGAAATTAAGTGTTTATCAAAAACTTCAAAGCTAACGTTTATGAGTGAAATTTTTTATGTTCTCTGCAGATGTTTATCAGCAATTTCTCTCGCCTCTAAGTGCATGGCTCCTGCGTTTAGAATGCATGTACGAGCTCACGGAACCGTTACCAAATTTTTCAAAGCTCTCCATGATGCTGCCAAAGATCAGGTCCGTTATCAAATTTGTTATTTTAAGTCTTGTGTGTGTCTTGCTCCTCATTTCAAAAGGTTCTGAGAAAGGTGTCATCTCAAAAAACCGTCGTAGCAGTTGGTGCTATTTTTTTTTATCTTAGAAGTAAAATAACTATGCACAAAATACCAAAGACTTGGGCGCCAGCTAAATTTTGATATTTTTTGCTATTGATGTTCTTTATGATCTCCTGAGTGAGATGAGCCTATAAAATCAAACTTTCTATGTACCAATATTGAGAAAATTGGGGTTGAAAAGTGCATTTTTTAGCATTATCAAGTGGAGGAATGTAGGTGATCAAGGAAGTAGCTCCGCTTTTTTTTATCTCGCACGGGCCGAAAAGATAAAATGGCATGTCAACTCAGTTCCAAACAAGAGGCTACGCATCTCAGCAACAGTGCCACTCCTTTGTTTGATAGCAGTATTGAATCGCTGAACTGAAGAATGCACTTTTTAGACCCGATTCCATTGAAATAGGCTCATAGAAAGTTTGATCTCAAAAGCTCATGTTATTCCGGAGATGGTAAGGAACATCATGTCAAAAAATCTTGAAATTTAGCTGGTGCCAAACTTGTTGGTATTCCATGCGTAGTCCCTTGCTCTACCAAGAGATCAAAGAATGAATCTGATGAATATTGGAGAAAGCACTTTGGAAATACTAAATCACAGAGAGGATGGTAATTTCTTTCCTGGAATTTTTCAGAGTTTGGGTATGTGTACAGCGACTGTGATGTTTGTGCTGAGTCAAGATAGGCTGAATATGGATCTGGACCGTGACAGTTTAGAACTGATGCTGAACCTCCTCGAGAGTGACACTTCACATCGCAATGCATTGGATACCTGCGGTCTCACCGATTCTCAGCTGCGCAAAACAATAGCCAGGGTGCGGGAGCTGTGCGCCGAAATACAGTCCCAGGGTCACGCTAAGCACCTGAATTTAGATAATATCACAGTAAGTTGAGTAAAACCTATTATTCAATTTTCAGTAGTTGTTCATTCAAGTCCCAAACAGAGATGAGCTATTTTGTCATGTTAAAAAATAATCAGTAAACAGGTTATTTTTTACTCCTCCAAGTTTTAATTTCAGTGAAAAGCAGTCAATTTTTCATGACTCTCAGCTCATTTCTTATTTTATTTTTTTATTCTTTCATTACCAAGATTCATCGAGTTATGTGCATTTAAAACATTCAATTTTTACTTTTTTAGGTCGGCCACTTAGCAATGGAAACGCTGTTGAGTTTGACCAGTCGAAGAGCAGGAGAATGGTTTAAAGAAGAGCTGAGAGAACTTGGAGGATTGGAGCACATTGTACAAACTATAGTCGAATGTTGCCGTTTAGTTGATGACACAGTCAATGCATGGTCTCCTCCGTTACTTGAAAAAATTTGCAAGGTTGACAGGTGCCTACGAGTTCTCGAAAATGTAAGTTGTCTTTGGTACTCAAACATTTTTGTCCGATATTTCTCACTGAATTCTTGGGAAAACGTAAAATTTGATTTAAGAATATTAATCCAAATGCCCACAGGTATGTATATCAAGTCACAGAAAGTATCTGCTAAAATCATCAAATGTGACTGTATCGGGGAAAAGTTGCCGAATTGCCCAAAACTCAGTATAGAAGTATTGGTAGTAAAGGAAGCTGTTGTCCGGGACTGTTATATAACATTTTGGCACACAAAACAATTCACAAGAATGGCAACCCCAAAAACCAGAAAAATTGTGAGAAATGGAGTACTAATGCTTGAAGTTTGCCAAGGAAACATGGTTCCAAGAGATAGCTATTTAATTATTTGATTTATCATGTTCAAGGTTTTAAAATAGTTTGATTTTTGATGTAAATTTTTAAAATGATGAGATGGACGTCTAGTGTAGATTGATAGGAATGTTAATATGAAGGATCATGTTCGGAATGAAAGGATATGTGAAATTATGGGCTTCGAAAACAACCTAGTGCATGACATTTTCACGAAACAGCTTGTCTGGTATGGGCATGTGCAAAAGATGCCAGATGATAGGTTGCTTAAGAAAGTTCTAGTAGTAGTAGAACGTAGTAGTAGTAGCAGCAGTAGCAGTAGTAGTAGCAGCAGCAGAAGTAGTAGTAGTGGTAGTAGCGGTAGTAGCGGTAGTAGCAGCAGCAGTAGTAGTAGTAGTAGCAGTAGTAGTAGTTGTAGTAGCGGTAGTAGTAGCAGTAGTAGTAGTAGTAGAAGTAGTATATTTTGAATATAACTTGACAGACTCCTTGCCCTTGAAATGAATTAAACTGCTCTTATATTTTTCTTTGGGTTACTTTAGATAATTTTCCATTAAAAATTTAAATTCTTAAAAAGTTGCCAGTTTACATCATGTGTGTTCTGTTCTGCAGACGGACAAAAATATTGTCTGCGGTAAATTCATCTTCAAAGATACTGCGAAAGTTATCTTATTTTTCACCCTCTTTTTTTTCCTCTTTCCGAATCCAGAAAGGCTGACTTTCCAGAGGGTTAGAAGCGCCAACATATTTTTTTTTATCATAAAATGGCTCAAGATAATTTTACTCGTTGAAATTAAATTTATAGCTTTTTAAGTAGCATTAGGCAGATTCTAGTCTTTTAGTCTAGTGTTCATAGTTTCGAGTATTACCTTTATCCCAATACATGTCCAATTACAAGTGAAATCTAAGTTATCTCCCAAAATTTTATTCGCAAGAAATAGACACATGCATGAGGAGTGTTAGGGTCATCCCCCGGGGGATGAGAAGAGGGGTTTGACGCACAAGAGACACTGTTTGTCGTAAGACTTATCGGGAGATTATGCCAATGCAGAGTTGCTGGCGGTCTGGAATCCTGGGAAAATCAAGGAAAGTCAAGGAATTTGTGGGGAAAGTCAGGGAATTTCTAACACATCAACCAATTACTAAAACGTATTACTGATCTTCTAACTGTTTATGGTTCTGGTTATTTTCAAGGCTTGTCATCTTCCAATCTACCACTGAATGCCTTTGTCTCCATTTGACCTCTGAACAAAGAAATTCTGTCCGAAGTTTAGCCAAAGGTAGCATATATCAAGGGGGCAAAAAGAGGTGAAAATTGCTTTCAAAGGTCAGGGAATTAGAAAATTTTGGAGTCAGAGATAAGCAAAAATAGTCAGGGAAAAATCAGGGAAAGTCAGAGAATTTGAAAATAAAGAAATTATGGCAACCCTGCAATGCCAAGTCCGACAGTCCAAGACAGCCATAGATGACAGTGCTGCCTCAGTTGGCAGTACATGGAAGTGGAGATGGATTACCAACCTATCAAGATGTATTGGATCAAGCAAATTTTGAATTATGCTGCACCATGACCTTTATCTACGAAATATTTTACTTATAAAATTTGATGAGACACTTTTTGAGAAATGTATCTACTTCTCAGATCTAATTATTTGAGAATACATAACTTGGATACAACTCATTTTTAGCAATTTATCAAATTAGTGGCGATACATGGAACTCCAAACCCTGGATGACCCTTAAAATTACGAAAGCTCAAGAGTGAATCATCCAAAGATAACTGAGCACTCAAAAAATTTCCAATTTTTGTGATGATGTTTTTTATGTAATTTTGTTGTGGAATGCTCTCGCAGGTTACTTTTCAAAATGAAGAAAACAACGCTTACTTGTTGCAATTCAAGGAGGGAATACTTCTGGATACTGTAGTGAAATTGTTCAAAGTTTGTGATGCTGAGATTCCTCTGTACCCTAGTTCGGATATCACTGACAAACAGTCTGTCGGAGCTATCTTGCGAGAAACCCTCTTAGCCACTCTCAAGGTAAATACTTCAGTTGTGTAATGTTAGTTCAATTTAAAACAGAGAGAGAGGAGAATTTTTTTTAATGTGTTGATGTTTTGCATTAAATCAAATACACTAGTACTCATACTTTTTTCATCAAAGTTTCAGCAAAATTACAAAGAATATTCATCAAAGAAATTAAAGTCCTGACTCCCAAATCTCTCTCCAATAACAATTCATTTGTATGCATAATATTAGCAGCATTCCAAAAGTCAATGTGGTTATTCAGAAAAGTACTCAAATGCTCCTGTCGGGCCAAAATAATATGCAACAGAATGACGAAATGCAAGTGCTTCAAACCGCGGTTATTAAAGCGATACCAGAGCTTCTTATCAGTTACCTAAGTGACTAGTTCTCTACAGTAAGCTTGACAGAAGACTGCAAATAGTGGCTCAGTTGCTCAACAGCAAGACAAAAATGCAGCGTCTAAAATGGAGGTCCTCCGACTGTTTTGGAATGGAAGAGAAAGTTTTAATTGAAAATCATTTCTTTTTATTTCAGGTGTTGATCAATCTGACGCACAACTTCTCAGCTAATTCTCAAGGTGCATTGGCAGCGGGGCAGAAGCAAGGGATGATCGACAACAGCCTTCACGTCTTGTTGCAAATCCCGCAGCACATACCCGACGAAGAGAAGTTTGACTGTACCGTGCTAGCTCTTATCTTGCTCATCAACCTCGTTGAGCACAATGATGTTAATAGGAGGACAATAATTCATGCCAAAGCACCTGCAGAGACTGAGAGCATTTTTGAGAGTAAGCCGCTCTTAACACTTGATTACAGAGCTCTAAATAAGCCCTTCCAGTCACCAATACCTTTAGCAAAATAAATATTTTCTAAAGCGTACCTTTTCAAATTCACTCTGTAGGAGTAAAAAATGAAAAAAATATGAACTCCTATTTTTCAAAAAGAATAAGCTAAAAAAATCTGTTAACATTTATGAATTAGAGTAGCCTCTTCAATTTTTATTTATATCTTTACCTTGAATTTTATTTTATTTATTTATTGTTTTAGGTAAGAAAGTTTTTTTATCTTTTTACTTTAGTAAATGCTCACTAAAATTTTACAAGTTGAGTTCTGTATGTTGCATGTGCTGCATTAATTTTAAGTTTTGCAGCAATAGAAATGATTTTTGGAATGGACAAAATTTTGAAAAAGCCCGTTTCAGGTTACTTTTCCTTTTTGACTGTATGCGCAGGATAGGGAATTCCTATCCTGCGCATACAGTAAAAGAGGAAAAATAATATGAAACGGACTCTACTCACTGTTTTTCATGATTTTTTAACAAACACTCTAATTGAGAAATCCAAAAGAGGGTCTCATAATTCCCATATTTTAAAATTGTGTTCTTTTTCCCTTTTTTTAATCCCAGATTCAGCAGCCAGTCTTAATAGGTTCAGCCCAAAAATGTGCAATTCCATCATTACCCGTCATCTTTTAACATTGTCATAATGGCCCAGTCATCGTTGAAGATTTCAAATCTAGTCTTTACCTGTAACACTTATATTTATTTTTTTCAAATCTCTTTTAGAAAGATTTGTTCTGCTTAGGTACAATCAAATGAGCATATTTATGCTAAAAACACCTATGTTGCATGCAAATCCCAAGCAAATAGTTCTTTTTAGCTTAAATGCATTGAGTTGTAACTCTGAGATGGAACACGGAAAAATTTGAGGTCAGTTTTACAATTTCAGTTAGCTTTAAAATTTTCAAAGCTTTCTTTTATATGCATTTCGACACTTGGTTATCAGAATAAATCCTCAAATTTTTAGAGAAGAGAATGATTTATTATGTTTGTGGCATTTTTTTGGCAGCAAAATCAAAGAAGATGGCTGTAGAAGCCTTGGTAGAACTATTCTATCAGCAAGAGAACCTTGCGAGGACTGAAGAAAAGAAAACGGATGCAATTCTTGATGGAGATGAAAATGAGAAACAAGAGCGAGAGAAGGCGAAAGAAAAATCCAAGGAAGAAAATATGGAAGAAACCATTGCAATGTGTAAGTTACAAAATTATGTTTTACCAGTTTGAAGATGGATCAGACAAACTTGGAAAAGGTAGCCTCAAGGATACTTTTATCTGCCAATTTTGAGATCGTATTTTGAGCTGTGCTCATCATGAATTGAGAAAATGAAGCCCGGTGGTTGAGTCATGGAACGGACAGGAAGTATAGCTCCCTAGTCAATAATAAAATAAGGATTAAAACAGGAACCTTGATGCTCATAATTGTTTTTACTTACATAATTTAGCACATGCAGAGGTGGGAGCCGAAGCTTTTCAAACGTCTAGTGTTCATCATTAGGGCGTACATAGTAATAACAGCGAAAAGGGTAATAATAATCTACATCACGCATAAAATTTAATTACATAGCTCAAGCAATAAATATCAAAAGTTTGTAGCTGTACAGGTAAGGAAGGAAAGAGCAAGTTGACAAGTGATAAGAGCTGTTTACACACTGCATGAAGAAACTATTTAGGAGCATGACAAGATAAAACAGAGGTGAACAGGAAATGAACATATAGGTAGTTTGTGTGATTATTCACAGGGAGCAGCAGTAATCAATCAATACATTGGAACAAGTGTCTACAGGGTGATCCAAAAGTCCCTTCCTCCCCCTCTAACTTTTTACCTAATTGAGGCAAAGATTTGAAACTTGGGGGATATTCCTAGGTCAAAGGGAGCTACTTTTTGGCCCCCCAAAAATTTTCAGGGGGGCCCTCCTTGGGGGGACAACGGCCCCCAACTTTTAATTTTCAAATGGGAAGACCCCCTTTGTGATAGCTCGTTCAAAAGAGCATAAAAAAAGAAAACTTTTCGCGCAAACCCGAAGTCAATATCTCAAACCGTTTCAAAATGGCGGCCGGTTAAAGTTCAAAATTGCCGAAAATTCACACCGATTATTTGTCGATGGATTTGCGCGAAAATCGGTATGTAGGGGTATTTTGACACGAGAAAAACGAATTTGACGTTAGATTTTCAAAAAAACCAAAATTTCGAAAATGGCCGCCGGTTAAAGTTTAAAATGGCCGAAAATTTTCACCTCGGTTTTTTCCTGATGGATTTGCCTAAAACTTGGAATTTGAGAGTATTTTGGCATAAAATAAACAAAGAGCGACGCCAAAAACGACCGTTTTTTGGCACAATTTAGGCCAGAAGGGATTTTTTTGAAACCGGGCCCAAACGATACCTTATGATACCCTAAAACTCTGGTAAAAATTTTAGCTTGAGTATACCCACCGTTTTTGAGAAATGGGGGGGCAAAGTTGCCAAATCGCCATCATTCTGGATAGCATTTTTACAGCAAAAAGACGAGAAAAATGGACGAAAAAGTTACACTATTGATGGGTTTGGGCTGTAAATGTTCTTATTGAGCCCCCGTTTATGTAACTGTGTTCAGTTTCAAAAATTTTGGACGTACAGTGGTCCAAAATGGGGAGAAATCGTGGACAGATAAGGATTCTTTGTCAAACTTTTTAAAAATGGAAGTAAAATTGTTGGTCTCCTGCAGAGATCATGGGGAACAATGTTCTTATTAGTCCAGTCAATCTGGCATTTTATTTTGCGAAAATCTGAGGAGAAAAAAGTAAGACGGATTCCTATGTAATTTGGGTCGCTGAATCCGAATCTGATGTTTGCCAACAAAAATTTTGACCGGAAATGGCCGCCATCTTGAAAAAATGGCGGAAAATCACGTTTTCTCCCCAAAATCCCCCAAAATCTCACTTATTTTGGGGTTTTCGACAAAATAAGTTATCTTCACTTTAAAAGTACGTAAAATTTCCTATCAAACGGTTTTTATATTTTTGAAATCGGACAATTAGGGTAAAAGTTATGGGCGATCGCGTTAGGGGTGGTTTTAGGGGTTGATGAATTTTTCACCAAAATTGCTGCGTAAAAACGCTGTAACGCCGTTGGAAGTGAAACAAAAATTCCGAAAATGGTTTGCATATGTCCCCCTGGGTACCAGTGACTCTCCGCCATGAAAAAATCCCCCACCCCCGCCCCTCCCCCCGCGCCCCTCATTCAATGTGCACTTTTTTCAATTAAATCACACTAATTACAGACGCCGAAAACGTATGCAAAACCAGTGGCGTGGCGTGAATTGCGATATGTCGATTGTTATGCCATTTAAATCCATGGTAAATAATCGATTATTAAGGTGTTCGCACCGAACACCCTGTTTATCGATCCTTTTCCATTGGTTCAAATGGCCGATAAATCGATATATCGCAAAGCACGCCACGCTACTGTGCAAAACCCTCATGGATCACTTGGTTTTCCAACTCCCATCACCCCCCTTAATCCCGTTATGACCTCCCTCACCTACCCCTCCCCCCTCAACCCCCTTCCCGCCCTTCCATCCCTCCACCCCAAACCCTTATTAGCCATATAAGAGCCACCGAACCGATTCTGAAAGCAAGATTTTTTTTTTTTTTTTTTTTTTTATTTTTTTTACAGGCGGCGAAAATATTTTAAAGACTTCATCTTAGGCAGCTAGGAACTCAAGATGGATGTGTGGGATTTCCACCCACTAAAAACCCCTCCGCTTTGGGTGAGCGAATTGAAAAAAAAGAGCACTGAATGAATGTTGTCTTGAATCCCTGGTAAAAATTGGCAGTAGGATCTGTGTTCCAAAATACTATAGACCTACAGACGGCTGTCGGTTTTCCTAGGGCTTCTGTAGCTGACTATGCAATTTCTTATAGCTTTTATAGACCGTGGCAAAAAAGCTACAGGAAGGCTATATACTGTATAGCCCGGCGATATACTGTATAGCCTGGCGATAGGAACCATAGCCCGGCTTTATATTTTTTTATCGCTTCGTGTAGCCCGGCTGTATAATTTTTTATCGCTTCGTGTAGCCCAGCTGCGTGAAATTCTTCGCTCTCTACAGCCAGTTAAATAATTTTCTATCGTCTTCCATATCCAGCTATAAGAATTCCTGAGGTATTTTGAATAACGCAGCTCCTATTGATAATTTTTACCAGGGATAGCTTTTTCTCTATGACATTTTCCATAAATCCGCTCCGACTCGGTAAATTCGGTATTTTAATCAAATGTCCATAAATCCACAAAAAATCCAGCGTTAAGATCTCATAACGATCAGGCAATTTATTAACAGTCTGCAAATCAAGAATTTTGATGTCTTCAACGGGTGTTACTCCAGAGGCCCGAGCTATTTTACCGGCGGATTTTGAGATAAATTACGAGGTATTACTTAATCAGGGTAAACTGATGATTGTGGTGTGATACACATTACGCCGCCCATAGCATGGAAGGTGTTCATTCCATCAAGCATCTTGACAATTCAAATCCGCATTATCGAATATGAACTGAAAGAAAGCGTCGAAATTGATTTTTACAGGTCCATGCAGAATAGCAGCGGTTTCAAATTTCAAAATTTCATGGTATGGTGCAACGTAGGCGAGAGATTCAATACACCAATCAATTTTTTCGATCTGAATTTTTGGCACACATACAATGAAACTCCGATTTGGATGGGCGAATTATATGACCTAGGTCTGACTGCTGAAATTGCAGAGTGAGAAATCGCGTTGACTTTTTTTTGGAACTTCGGTTTACTCTTAACTTTTTTGTTATTTAGAATAATAGTATCAAGTAGGAGCTTCAGAGACTCAGGAATGTCTGATTCTCCGTTCTTAAAAAAA